CGTTGTACATCAGGGACAACATCCTCAAGCTTTTGAAGGAGGGTACTTCTTCGAAGATGGGTGATGGCGGATCGATGTCTGAGTCTGAGGATGTCGATATGACAGGTGCCGCTCTGGGAGGACCGCCGGTAGGCGTTACCCCTGGTGGGCAATCATCTGACGCAGGTCAGCATGCGGAAGGTCAGACCGCTGCCCCGAAAGCACCTCCTAAGGCGTTAGTCACGAAGGAGATGCTGGCATCGGTGAGACCAAAGTCTCCGCCGAACCCACCTCGGAGTCCGAGGGTTTCTTCACGGCAACCGAAGTTGGGAATCGATGGTCATCGAATCTTCGGACGCCTAGAGCAACGATTGAGGAGGAGAACACGGGTGGCTCCACCGAGGTCGATGATCTCCTACCCGACAGGGAAGGGGTCGATCTCCCCACGGATACCTTCAATGATGGTGAGGATCCGACCGAGGCTGAGGCGTTAGAGCCCACCGGAGACGTTGAGATGGAGCCGGAGAAGGAAGCTGAGGTCCCCACTGTAGGTGAGGAGGAGACTCCTGGTAGGGAGGCTGAGGTACTTCAGGCCACTACGACCACGACTGAGCCGTCGGTGGAATCGTCTGCGGCAAAGCGAGCGGTGTCGCCCGTTAGGGAGGAACGCAGGACTCGAGAACCTGATGGTACTCAGAAGAAGGAGGAGGCGTCGGGTACGCTTGGGCCAGGTGTGCCCATCTCCTATGCTCCGAAGTACACGGACGATGACGGGGACTTGCGGGATACTGCGGCGACCCCGAAGGCGGCTTCGACCCAGGAGTCTCGAGGGGGCATACACAATTATGCGAACACGCCGTACCCGCAGCATCCGGGAGAGGCACCCGAGCTGAAGTCAGCGGAAGTTCGGCATCACCGTGAGCATAGTTCCTATCAATCCACGAGGGGCTCACGGACCTCGGCGAGACCGGCGGAGAGCAGATCCAATAGGAGGTTCATCGTTCAGCATATCCTGGCCAGGGAGGCTGGTGAGCCCTTCATCTATGCCGTGATCAGGAACAAGGCAATCACTCAAGAGCGGGTTACCGCGGAGGAGTGGAGGAAGGCGAACGAGACTAGCCACATTGTGTTCCCCAATCGCGATAGCGAGTGGAGTGCGGTGTTGGAGCGAGCCGTACATAACGATTACATGTACGGGGCGTTGGATGCTTCCCGAGCTGCTGGGAGGATCGATCAGGAGTATATCAATCCTCGAGATCGGAAGTCTACGCCGTGGGGTGATCAACAGTGGAACATGAAGAAGGTGGCGTCCGAGGCTGCCCACATCCCGTTAGGGATGAGGCAGGACATTCAGGCGAAGTACCATCATGGACGAGCACCTCCGGGGGACTGGGCAGATATGCCCGATCGGGATGATTACATGGTTCGTGGTGTCGTTAGTGACCCGAACCGCAGGGCGTGAGGGCTACCTTGCTGAACGCGCAAACGGGCCAGTGCATTCCGTTGGATGATCCGACTTGGGTGCCGGAGGTTGCGTCATCTCACCTGCTGGTGGGGACGATCACTACGATCGCTTCGCACGTGGACTGCGCCCTTGGGCGCGCGTGGCGGATGCCCATGTTCCATCCTCAGCTGATGGCGGCGACAGCGATGCTGGAGAAGCTGCAGAAGTACTTCAACGCGCTGAACGAAGCGGTGCTAGGCAAGCGGTTGGGGACTGCGCCATTCAGCATGATTGCTGGTCACCTTGCTCCGGAGTTGCGGACCATCCCGACGAGGGAGCAGATGCCCGACACGCTGGCGCAATCAGCGGCTGAGATTATGCTGTCTCATGTGTCGGCATTGTCGCATTCAGGGTCTACTTCCGATAGGAAGGAGATCCTCGATAGGGATGGGCTCCCGTTCGGGAAATCATGGTTCGAAGATGCCTGAAGGAGCCACTTGGCCTGGGCACCACATGGCTGGGGGTGTCGCTGTCCCGCTGAAGCCGAAGACGAAGATCGTGTGGGGGAAGCGACCACATGTGGACGACGAGGGCGACGTGGATCCTGGGGCGAGCTCTTCGGGGCAACCGAGGACCGAGCCGGCCCCCGATAGGGGCGTCGGGTCAGGAAAGGATGATGATGTGACTCTTCCTGACATTGGGAAACTGTCCGTGACGGAGAAGAAGAAGGACGACATGGACGTGGATCAGGAAGGCTCCAAGAAGGATTCCACCGGGACGAAGGAGCCCACACCTCGGGGTACTGAGGCTGGGAAGGCAGACCCGAGTGAGATCACCAACTTCAAAGGGGCTACCGTCGAGGAGTACCGGAAGACTGCTCCTGACTATGAGTACAGCGGGGAGGGAGATGATCGAAGGATCCTTCCCAAGAACACTCCGATAGACATGGAGAAGTCAGTGCCGGACAATCGGAGCCTCCCGCACCCTTCCGGGACCCATTCGTCTACGTCAGTGACGAAAGGGTGAGGACGGTTCTTGATGGTCGTCAGCCCGAACCATTGGACGTGGACATCGAGGGACTTCAATCGGTGCATCATGCTGCGCCGGGCCCTGGTCCCAAGCAGGAGCCGGTCACCAAGGGCGGAAAAGGAAAAGGGAAGAAGGGAGAAAAGGGCGGTAAGGGCGGTAGTCCTTCCGGCCCACCACCGAAGTCGGGTGAAGTGCCAGGCAAAGGTTCTGGGAAGGGCGGTAGCCCATCTGCCCCAAAGGCAAAAGCGAAGGATGATGCTGGACCAGCTCCGATGGAGGTTGATGCAGCAGCGGCTCAGCCGAAGAAGACTTGGGTCGCGATAGCGGTTGAAGGGGCCCGGCCGAGTGCGAAGGCTAAAATGACCCCGGTTCCAAAGGCCGAGCCAAAAGGAAAGGTCGCTTCAGTGTCTGAGGCGAAGAGTGCTCCGGCTCCAAAGGCTGAGGCTAAGGAGGCGAAGCAGGCCGAACCGAGAGTTGAGGTCAAGAAGGAGAAGGCAGGCGGAGACGACGCTCCTGGCGGTAGTCGGGGGTCGGCTGAAGGGCAGAGGAGGGAAAGGAAGTCCCGTTGGGATCCTGACGAGACTGTGAAGGAGTCAACGAAGCGAGAGGCATCGAAGAGGCCTGATGACGTTGACAGCAGACCAGGTGCGGCAGCAAGAGAGGCTAGTGGGGATGATCTTCACTCCGCGCTTGGCAGATCTTCGGCAAAGGATGCGGCAGCGCCTTTGACGGCCTCCAAGGCGATGGCAAAGAAGCCTGAAGGCGGGGAGATCCGGTTGCAATCTGCTGAGCGGGCTGCGGCGAGCCCGGTGGAGGGTCACTTCCTGGTGCTGCCTGAGGGTTCGGTGGTGGACGCTTTCTTGTCGATCTCCACCAACAGAGTGCTGAACAAGCAAGTCAGGGATTTCATCAGAAATGGTGAGGACGCGTCAGCACTGGAGGCTCTCAACCAGATCGTGACGAACTCTCGCTCTGGGAGGAGGCGTAGGGAATCGGATGTTTCCCGTACTCCTTCTCGGAGGTCCGTTAGGACCGTGGACACCAGGGATTCCAGAGAGTCGAGAAGGCGCAGATACCGTCCGCGGCGCGAGGATGATCGAGACCGGAGGAGGGACGATGCTCGTGATCGTCGTGATGATGATTCACTCGATCGGGAGCGAGATCGAAGGCGAGATGATCGCAGGAGATCCGAAAGGGATCGTGATAGGGACCGTGCGCGGGGCGGACGTGACCGGAGGAGACGTGACGATAGCCGGTAGGCTGAGTCACGAGGATTGCGGCCGATAGGCTTGCGTCCATTCTCCAATGGTCGGCGCGGTGCGGAGGTGGTGATGTTCCTCCCGGACCGCTGAGGCGCGGAGGTCATGTCTCTCCCATACCGCTGCTGGGCTGCTGGACGTGTTCATCAGGAAGCAGTATGAGTGAGAGGGAAAGCAAACTGATGGGGGGTTACTCCCGGGTTTGCAGAATTCAAGCATTTTTCAGGTACGCATGGTCAGGAGTACCTCTTGCCGTTAGGCGAGGGTACTAATGGACATACGTTATCTTTTATTTCATGGCTTCTGATAAGAATTAAACTTCTTGCATTGTTGATGCAAACAGTTGTGACCTAGTGTCGTCATGTGGACCTTTCCACAAGGTATGTTGGACAGCGTTACCCCGATTAATTCGGGGTGGTGGCGGGAATTTAATGCCCGGGATGTCGCGCAACTGCCTTTGTGGGTTTGCTCCACCGCTGACGGCGGTAGTGTCCAGCTGTTTGCGGACACATGCGAGCAGTTAAATCCTATCAGTAAATGGCACGCTCCACCCGTCATAGGACGGGCTCCTCGTGAGGGGGGTGTGATTAGCCATGGTTAATATCATCATCAGGGACGTCGCGTTAGTGACCGACCTGTGGTGTTTTGGCTCAAGTTTTGGGTTCCGTCGCGCCTCGAATGGGCGTCGCCGAACCCCTGCGTCGACCGACGGCATCTCGGGGGAGAAAGAGACCTCGGGCCGCCGCCAGGTTGGTAGGGACCAGTCGTGCGGCCTGTTGTCGACCAAGGTTGCGGGTTAACCCTTTTCTTGTTTGGTTTGTTTTCCTTTGGTTGTTGTTCTCTGGTGTGTGGGAAACCCTGATCTTTGGGACCGGGGATTGGTTTGCTTTTGGGGAACCTTTCTTTTGTGGCTTGTTTACCCCAACTTACCCATTGCCTGGGCACAGACTCGTGCCCGAATCACACAATATTATACAGTGACTAACTACGACGTTGTCTTGAAGCAAGCGTTGAACCCTGACACACGTGATGCATCGCTTCTGACCTGCAGGAAAGGAAGACATGAATGTGGGAAATGAGCTGCTTTGGCAACACTTATTTGTGAGATGTTCGACTCCTCGGGAATCACCACTTTGGCATCACAGAGCTCAGGGCCGATTTTCCGCCTCCATGCATCCACCTAGATTCTTTGTGCGAGCCGCTGAACATGAGATGCGGGGGGTGGGGCCTTGCTGTTATTCTTTGGTCATTGCCTGGAAGAAGGCTCTGATTGGCTCGCAATGCGCCAGGCTGCTGCTACAGATTTCATCTGGACAGGGAGGCCCGAGACTATCGCCGCCTGTGTTTGCAACTGGATGTTGGGTGTGGTTTTCCTTGTTTTTGACGGGGGTCGAAATTCGAGCGCTTGCAACCGATAGTCCCAGACCTGCGGGGGTAACTACTGGGTTTGCGGCTCGTGGCCGCGGCGTGAACTCAAGCTCCACCGCTGAGTCCCGCAGTTCGCCCTGCATGATGTTGCTCGCTTCCCGCGCAAGTCTTGGGATTGAAGAGTCAAATGAATGACCAGCAGTTTTGTTTTTCATGTATCATTTTTGTTTCTATTTGAATTTGCCCCAACCCAGCAAATTGGAGCGACAAATCCGCATTCGGACCTATTTTAGCTATGTTTACCCTCTTGGCAATGTGCGAGTCACAGGCCGAGGGCTGCAGAAAGGCAATCAGTGATAACCCCCTCTAGACTCTAGCCCCTTTTGTCGGTGCTACCCGTTCACATAGCTTTCTCCACGGGCGCAAGCACCATAGCCCGCCATAGACCGATTGCACGCCAGGCAGTGAAGGCCTGCAACAACCAGCACTCCTTGTGCCAGGATCTCAAGGCGAGCTCACCGACCGGGGGGGGGGGGCCAAAAGCGAGCTGACCATGATGCAGGTCCTTTGCTTGGGGATTGCGCGGATCCTCACGGGAGCTTTTTCAAATCGGGGCCAAAGTTCCGCAAACTGCAAGACAACTTGTGAGCCGAGACATCCCCAAATAAGTGCGCGCTTTGGGGATACCTGGTCTTATGGTTTTTGTTGTAAGGCCTACCGAATACCGAAGGCTTCACTGTAGCTTAAAGCCATTTTGGCAGAACAACAGTCAGTGGCTTTGGTCGCTACTCATTTGTTGGATACTTCGGGGGCTTGTTTTGAGCTACCATTGCCCGAAGCGAATCGATTTGCAAAGTGTTTTTAGTTTGCATTGCCAACTTTGGATTCCACTTTTGGGCGGGTCCACACAAGGGGATCACTGACTTTCAAGTAAGGGGGCAAGCGAGGACGAAGACCAACAGATGCACACACCCCGAACATGTGTTCTCCTTTCCAACTTTCCAGGCTCAGATTGCTTGAGGAATCGCGTTTGAGTGCCAACCAAATTCCAAGCCAATCTAAGCGCGATGGCTTTTCTGGGTTGCATCCTTTTCCATCAGTCGGATTACTTTAGCCTAGATCACATCTTCACCCACATTCGCCCGTTGGATGTGAAACGGGATGCGGTAAAGCTGGATTGTTCCAAAAGAGTACCAACATGAGGAACACTCAAATGACAGGGTGACGTGCGTGAGTGTTCTGATTTGTTGCTCCTGTTTGTGGCGAATGTGTCTTCTGGCCCGCAAACTGTGGCGGTGAAGTCGCCCATTTGTTTTCTGATTGGACACACAAATTGTCGGTTATTGTTGAGACTCTAATCCACCCAGACTCCTTGGTTTCTTTTGCTTGAGGTGCTGGTGTATGATAGCCATTCAAAAAGTGCATTCACGAAACTGTACTTGACAAAGTCCGTTGAACTGTACCCAAGACCGAACAAATTACTGAGATTGGTTACAAGTCATTGGTGACTGTTGGAAGTCGAACCCTTTTCGTGTTCACAAGAATAGGGCTTGTCTCAAAATCAGGGACCCCCATGGTGAGTCGGTGTCCTTTGGGTTTCGGGGTTTGGCCTTCCCTTTCAAGCCACCGAAGCAGGGGAATCGCCCGTTTGCAGTGACGTCAAACTGCGGGGTCTGATTTGGGGTTTCCTTCGGTTTTTTTTTGAACAAGACATGGGTGGTCGGATCCATCCCCAGCCTTTAGACTTTTGAGTCAAGATCGACTGAAGGAGTCTACCCAAGACTTTGTGAAGAATCAAAAGGCCGGCGATCCGCGCATGTATGGCGCGGGGATTGTCCCTGTGGTCCATTTGGCAGCGGCATGAAGGAACTCGCTAAACGTCCCACAAAAAGCAGGTGGATCGCCAAGTTGTCCATGTCCTAGGGGCCAAGTTTTCCATGGTTTAGGGAAATATTCGTCATATTGACCGGGGCTCCTAGCTTCGACAGGTGGACTTCTGTGTGGAGTGGCCGTCGCCACGGCCCGTTGGGCACTTGGAGGAGGATCGATTCTTCCACATCGCCTTCAGTGTGCCGGTGAAGCTCAACGAGACCAACGCCAAGGCGAGGCGCAAAGCGCTTGTAGGTGGCAGCGGGGGTACATTAGGCGATTGGCATACGAGATTCGGACCCCCCAAATGGGGTTGTGTCTGTGGGGGGAGGAGAACCCCCCCAACAATGGTGTTTTGTTGCTGTTGATTTCCCTTTAAGCAAAGGATAGGCGGATTGCAGACGTTTTGGAGGTCAAGAGGCAGACAAGGCGAATGTGTGATTCGTGTATTGCTTTTGGATGTTAACCTGTTGTGTCCAAAAGATTCCAAAAGTGTACCTCCAGCGGGCTAAGATTTTAGTTTTCAACAGGTTTAACCAACTAGAAACGGGATCGGACTTCCAAGAGGGGCCTTTGGAGGGCATTAGATGCAGTGGCATCAACATGCCGACGGAAAAACATCTTAAAACGGGCCCAACTCGGCTCCACAGGCAGACTGGTAGCCTTTTTTGGACGATTGGGCCCGGAGTGGTTCAACCTTGATGAATCATTGGGTGAGGGCGCATTAACCCTGGGCTTATGACATTAGTAGATATCAGTAGACTTGGGGGGGGGGGGGGGCTGGCAGCATGTTTCGCCAGGAGCGGAGCTGGCCTACACGGGGTGTATCACATTCTTACACCCTGGGCTTTTACACCCTTTGGAAACGACTCAAGATGGCCTGAAACAGCAAAGGTTTATTTGGAAATGACCCAAAAGGGGAATTTCGGAGCCGTTGCATTCTCAGACTGTAATGCCAGCAAACTTAGATTTCCCTATGCGGGTGTCTTGTTTCGAGGGAAGCGAAGGAGAGCTCAAGGCCATTTTGGGTTTCCCTGTTTGGCAGTGTGTTTTTGTGAGGGTACCTTTTCAGCTTGCCAACACAACAACGCGGTTTGACACGCACCAACTTGGGTGTGATAGAACAGGAGAACCAACCCCGCCCCCTCCCCCCAAAGAAAACTTATATAGATAGAGAATCCCTTTGTTTTTGCCTCACAACAACCCCAAAAGGGTACCCTCGGTACAGCGGATGAAGTAATTGTACATGCCCAAAACCTCTCTTGGCCATTTTAGCAAGTGGTTCCACTGCCTGGTTCCATGGAGGTGCGAGCAAGGCCTGTAATCTTACGGTTGAACCAAAAGTCAATGGGTGAAACGGGCGCTGCTCAGGTTCGCCTGGAGGCCGGCCCGGAGCAGGGGGACAAAGTCACCGCCTGGTTCCTGCCGCACCCCAGCGATCATACGGTCTGGATGACGGCGGACGGGAATTTGACCCATGGCCAGGTGGGGCGATTCAGGTCGTTTCAGAGAACTTCCAAGAAATGGGAAACGGCTGGTTGAGAAGAAAGATGGTTGAAACGGAATGCATGACCCCCAAGACACATTGCCGTTTCAAACATACCCGTTGCAGTCGTAGGGTTTAGGCAAAACCAGATCCGCACAAGGGTGGGTGTTCGACCTCAGCCCTGATCAAGGCTCCTTTCACGGCGCACAGTTTTGTTGGCTCGGTATGTCGCTTATAATTCGCTCTGATTCACGTTTGCTTTTTTCTTTGTTGTGTATCGCTGACATGTGTCCTTAGCCAGTGGTAGCAGTGGTCAAAATTGTCATCACTGAGTTATCTCTGAGTTATCACGGCTACAAATCATGATTTGGCTTTCTGAGTCTGTCCAAACAAAGAGAGAGAGAGAGAGAGAGAGAGAGAGAGAGAGAGAGAGAGAGAGAGAGAGAGCAGCTGGTGAGTGCAAGAGTCTGTCCAAGCAAAGACAGAGGAGAGAGAGAGAGAGAGAGAGAGAGGAGAGAGAGAGCAGCGGGTCAGAGTGGAGTGGGAGACATTGTGCTAAATAACCAGCCCTGGTACCCCTTAAACAGTCTGGTGGTTTTAGCCGTGGTTTAACCAGGTCGTTGGGCCCACCCAGCTGTGTGAAGTGGTCCGGTGCCTTCATTTCAGGGCTTATCCTTGCGGTGGATGCCAACCCTAATGATCTCTAAACTATCATCATTCAGGTCTCAAGGGTTGAACTGGGGATACCTTCAATCCCTAGCCCCTCCCCAACCCCCCCCCTTTCCTCCCCGCGCAAGGTTCAGAGGAAAGAACATCTTTCCGGGTGAGTGGCCCTGTCAGGTGGCCGATCACTCCGACGGCTCCGGGCGCCTGGATGGGCAGACCGTCTACTGCGCCCACAAAGCCCGCGGCGAAGCGGGGAACGGCCAGAGCTGCAGCGACTCCAGGAGCTTCGAGGTCTGGTCCTCGAGCCTTGCCGTCGGGGTGACGGCCATGCTTGGCCGCCTGTAATTGCTTAGTATGTATACATATACATATATATATATACACATATATATATATATATATGTGTTTGCACACATACATGCATGCATGCGTACATGGTTACATGCATACATACATACATACATACATACATTCATGCATACATACATACATACATACATACATACATATGATACTCCCCTCCCAAAACCTAGGTTGTTCGTTGGGTGACCTAGTAAAATTGGAAAAGGCACCACAACTGCAAAACCTTTGCAAAAATGAGTATGACTCACTTCCAACAGTGGACAATGCTGAGCCAACACCAAACTAATATTGAACTGATGTTAAGGCTGTTTTACTTGTTAGCTTTCCCCATTGAACCTGACAAGTAAATCTTTCAATAATAAGCCTGTGTTTGCCTCAAGCAGTTTTACTTTTTCCTTGGCCCCAGCAAAAGTAAGAACATATATTTAAAACGTTGGACCCATAAAAAGTAAATAGTAAAACTGCCTGAAGTAAAACACTGATTTACTTGTTGGAACTTTACCTTTTGAGTTTAACCGGGGAAACGTAAACGTGTAAAACTGGTGCATTAAAACAGGTTTTACTTGTTCACTTCTTCGCCCCTGCTATCAATAGTAGCATAAAGCCAGAAAGCCCCATTTACGCGGTCTACATTTCTAGATAGACAGGCTATTCCCTCCCAAGCCTACCAGTGTTCAAGCTGAAAAATAGAAAGTAAGAGTAAACGTTGTTTTACTTCAGGGAGTGTTCTACTTGTCCCCACTAAAAGAAGAAAACACAAAAGCAGCCTTGGAGCCATGAAAAGAAAGCGTCCCATGCCAACAGTAAAACATTGTTTACTCAGGGAGGTTTACTAGGTTTGACTTTTCCCTGTAAAAGTAAAAACTAAAGGTCCCAAACGAAAAACTGTGCTTACTTCAGGCAATTTTATTGTTCACTTATCGTGAGTCCAAAAATATTACCTTATGTGTGTTTGCTTACTGCTCCCCCTTCTGCTGGGGAGCAGTAAGCAAGCCAAAAGAAAAAGTCCAATCCCTGAAAGGTGCCAAGTGGTCAAGGGCATTCTTGCAATCAACAGATTCTCTTTGGTTCCTTCTGGGCCCCCCCGCTCTCCCTAAGCCTGCAGGGGGGGGCACGCCCAGGTGCCACAGTCAAAAGGCCGTGGGCGTGAGGTCATGAACCCGCAAGGAAGTCAGACCATCAGGATTCCTCTGGGGACAACCACCAAAGGAAATTGTTCTGACCATGGCACGCATCATGGAAGCTGGGTAGCCGATTTCTGTGATACTTTCGGCTGGCCCAAAGTGATAAAATCATGGGGATGGGAATCAGTCCACTTTGCAATGCCACATTGCAACTGGTTTTGGTCATTGCCTTTGCGACAAAGGTGATAGTTTAAGCACCCCACTGCAAAAGAAAGTGGATATGTACAGACCGTTAATTATACCGGGAAGTATGCAGAGGTGTAGCTGCGCTACCTCAGAGACTGATTCTGAGCTAAGGGGATTGCAGTCGCAAATAGCCTGACTTGAGTCCGTTTCAACAGTTTTATGGATGTAACACAAGGGCCTTTGCGAGAGGATTGTTTGCCAAAGCCCTTTATCAGCTTCCATCCTTGCAAGACGAAGGGTAGTAATGCTTCGGCATCATTACAGACCATGAACGGGCATGGCGAAGCCGGGCTCTGAATCAGCGGAACTTCTCATTTGGGCACCAACGAAACTCTGTTGTTCAAAGCTGACCTTTGGACCTTTTGGTTGTCCCCTTTTCGCAACCATGTTTGTTCTTTTGGTCCCAAAGGGGATTGATCTTTGATTTCCGGGTCCTTCAGTTGCAAACGAGTTTGGTTTCCCTTTTGGCATCAACCATCGCCTTTTTGGGTTGCCTTGCTTAAGACCTCCGTTTCGTATTCTTTTGATGATCCCCAATCCCTCCACGGCTCCTGTCCACATGGCGAATGCCGTGCTACTGGTCGTGTTCGGCTTCGGTCAAAATAGGATGACCGCCAAATATTGAATTCACCTATAATGCTGTGTAGCCACGGGTCGCTTTGGGCATGGGTCAAAATAGAGGGACCCCAAAAATGGTTTCTCCTGCTCACCAACCTGAAAAGGGTGAGATTTGGGAGGTGGACCTTTGCTCCGTGGCCACCAACTGCCCGGACCGAAAGAGCCTGCCCTGCGGCATGGTCTTGCGGGCCTATTTTCCGGCCGGGCTGGGCATCAGCGAAAACGTGGGCTCCAGGCAAATGGGTTCGGGATGGGGGAGAGAAAAGAACGGGAACCAACTTGTCTGTTTAAACTGATAGGGGGATACACACACCCAGTTGTTCAGCGACGTTGCTCCCTTATTGTTTGGGGGATCTCCATGAACCCTTTTTCTGCCAGGTGAGGATGAATCACTTCCAAATCACTTTGGAGCCCCCGATCAAACCCTTGAAGTGTACAAAGGGACAGTAGAGGATCCTTAAATACCAAGCGTTGAAAGATTCTAAACCAAAGGGTTAAAATCCTACGCCGAATCCAATGGATCCCCTTCACGAGTGCTAAACGAGTTGGTGGAACCTACAGTGGAGGGTCGTTACCCTTGGTAGAGCGGGTGTCAAGGGAAACCTGAAGGAAACCAAGCATGTTGGGGGGTCAAGGCACACGCACGTGTGCGAAATGGCCAAGACCTGAAGGTAGGGCCCGGTGGTCGATTTCGCTGATCCTGTTCCTCTTCGGCCCGGATTTTAGGTTGGTGTGTCCTAATTGAGGGAAGCCCGAGGAAACATGCCGATTTGTTCTGGCTTTGGTGGTTTCTTTGACTAGACTTTACCCAGGTGGGGACCCAGACGGCATGGGTTAGAAAGCCCCGGTTTCGAAGGTTTTGGAGTGCCAGTTACCACGATGGAAAACGAGAAGAAGAGGCTGCAGCCCTTGTTTGGGCGGGTTCATCGGGACGAAAGGGCCCCTCATTGGGGGGTACCCCATTCTTTTTCGGGATGGTCGTTTAAGGGCGTGTGTTTTGGTGCCATGAATGCATGACTAGCTTCCATCAAATCTAGCAAAACAGACCACCTCGACAAGCTTGCCCAGAGAAATCCTCGGCGCCTTCCCATGTGGAGAACGGTGCGGCGAATCTCGGGATCCAATTTGAGAACACTGACAGAAACTTACATGAAGCATCAAGGGAAAGGCTGGAGTCAAACAAAAAAAAACGCATCCAATGCGCTTTCTAGATCAAGCTATGAGGGTACCTGAGGCTTTAGCTGCCGCGTGAACATGAGATTTACACTCTTTCCCCTGTCGCACTCAAATGGAAATACCAAGAATCAACTTTGGCAAAGCCAGGTTCTCAAATGGGTGTTTCCCAAATCAGCCCCTCCACATCTTGAAATGGCAGTGTTTTGAAAGGGGGATCTCCTTTGGTGTTTATCAGAAAAGCAAGAGGAAGCAAAGCCTTAGGGCTCCTCCTTTGGGGTCGGCAGCGTGGAAGCCTTTGAAAGGTTGTGCGCATTTTCATGGTGGGTTGAGTGGAGGTGCGGTGAATGCCAGCTCAGCTTAAAGCAGGTAGGGGAACAAGGACACTGATTCTCTGGTTTGCCGCAATGTACCATAGTTTTTGGTTGAGTATGGTTGGTTTACTTGCATTAGGGCGGTAAGGGGTTGCGAATGCTCTTTGAAGAACGCCTCTGCCTTTTTGGGGGAATGGTTGGTTGGCCTGTCGGTCGGTTGGTCGATCGGTCGGTCGGTTCGTTGGTCGGGCGGTCGGTGGGCTGGTTGGTTGGTCGGTGGGTAGGTTGGTCGGTGGGTTGGTAGATTGGTAGGTTGGCAGGTTGGTTGAATGATTGGTTTGTTGGTTGGTTGGTTGGTTGGTGTGGTCGGTCGGTTGGTCGGTTCGTCGGTCGGTTGGTTGGTTGGTGGGTAGTTTGGTCGATCGGTCGGGCGGCCGGTTGCTTGGTCGGTGGGTGGGTTGGTTGGTCGGTTGGTTGGTCGGTCCGTAGGTTGGTCGGTGGGTTGGTAGGTTGGCAGGTTGGTTGAATGATTAATTTGTTGATTGGTTGGACGGTGTGGTGGGTGGGTGGGTGGGTGGGCGGGCGGGCGGGCGGGTGGGTGGGTGGGTGGGTCGGTTGGTCCGTTGGTTGGTCGGTTGTTTGGTCGGTCGGTTGTTTGGTTGGTGGGTAGTTTGGTCGATCGGTCGGGCGGCCGGTTGCTTGGTCGGTCGGTGGGTCGGTGGGTCGGTGGGTCGGTGGGTCGGTGGGTCGGTGGGTCGGTGGGTCGGTGGGTCGGTGGGTCGGTCGGCCGGTCGGCCGGTCGGTCGGTCGGTCGGTTGGTTGGTTGGTGGTTGGTTGGTCGGCAGGTTGGTCGTTGGGTTGCTTGGTTCGTAGGTTTGTTGGTTGGATGGTTTGTTGCTTGCTTGCTTGCTTTGCTTGCTTGCTTGCTTGCTTGCTTGCTTGCTTGCTTGCTCGCTCGCTCGCTCGCTCGCTCGCTCGCTGGGTGGGTGGGTGGCTGGGTGGGTGGGTGGGTGGGTGGGTGGGTGGGTGGGTGGGTGGGTGGGTGGGTGGGTGGGTGGGTGGGTGGTTTGGTGGTTTGGTGGGTCGGTCGGTCGGTAGGTAGGTAGGTTGGTTGGTTGGTTGGTTGCTTGGTCGTTTGGTCGGTCGCTCCGCTGCGGCCGCTCGCTCAGCCGCTCGTTCGGGCGGTTCCCCTACGGCCCAAAAGGGTGATGTTTAAACCCGCAGGGAGAAGAAATTGACGCCTCCCTCAGGCAAGACACCCAGAGCTTCCGCACCCGGCCCTGCGACCCGCCTCACCTCTTGAACTCCCTGCGCCTGAGCGATGATGGCAGGGGGCCCCGGGGGCCGGGGCCCGGGCAACGGGCGAAGCAAAGGTCTCTCTCTTTGACGCCGCCCAACAATGGATCGCACATTTGTGAGCTCTTCATGAATGTTTCTGCTGCTAGGTGTGTGTTCTCAAGTAGCAACTTGCAGGAGAAGCGAGCTCACCATAAAGGGCCCTGGTGCCTGATTTCCGGTTGAATTTAAGGATTCTGCTCCCTGGGTGAGAGGAGATTGTGGTCAGGATCCTATAGGCCTTTGTAAGCGTATTAGCAGCGTGTTGGTGGAACTAGAGGGAAAATCGATAATTTGAGCTGAGAGTCTGACAATGGCCATGTTACATGATGTGTGAAGGAAGCCGCCATTTGCAACAGGCTCGGTCGTTAAGCATCGTTTCCTTGCTCCCGCCCAATCAGCAAAAGGGGCAGAGAGAAAAACAACAACACAGTTTTTGGGCGGCCTTTTGCAGGAGGCCCTCACGGGGGCAATGCCTTGCAGCCTTGAGAGCCACGGCCTGTGACAAGGGCCATAGCCATGGGAAAATTGCAACATGGCTACCCGTGACGGGTCTAAATGTCAGAGCTTGAAAACTCAAGCGGCCGGCCAAGCGGGGGAACCGTAAGTTTTGTTTTTTTAGTTTGGGTCTACATCAAATCATGCTTGGGAAGATAAACCTGACTGCCCGGCCCCTGTGGCAGGTAGAAGCCCTGGATGGAGTCGATTCCCATTGAAAGTCTCAGAAACGCACCCTTGCCATATTTGGCGCCACCCCGTTGACAGGCTAGTTGAGCTGCTTTCTTCCAAACAGTTGTTGTTTGGACTACTTCTTCCATTGAGCTCCACCTCCTCGCCCCTTTTGGGCACCGAAAGCGGCCGGTTCGGCGCTTTCCGCATGCCTTGCACGCGCGGCACGCGGCGCCGTCCGCCGCGTGGCGCGACGGCCGCAGGGGAGACGCTGTACTTCTCCTGGTCGCAGCCCGCGGAGGTGGCGGAGCCCGGCGCGAAGATCTCCCTGTGCCGGGCCGGGGGCGCGACGCGCTGCTTCCTGGAGAAGACCGTGGCGGACCCAGAGGCCGGTAGATGGGGACGGGGAGCTTTGGGGGGGGGGGGAGGGATGTTGACGTGATTGTAGAATTCGCGGATGTGTCTGGCGCAAGGCATTTGTAATTATAAGACGAAGCTTCAAGGGTTGTCTTTCGGATTTTCCTTTTTCAAGCCATCCAAGCTGGGGCCCTGTCAGACCCAGTGAAGTTGAGTTTTTCGTGCCATCGGAGTCCGACGCCCGAGGTGACTCCGTGCATCACAGGGCCGGACAGCTGCAGCGAGTGGTCCTTGGACGTGCGAGGGCTGAAAGCCTGCGGCCAGCTGAGTCTGCAGGTGGAGGCTGCGGGGAGCCGAGTTGATTTTTCCAGCGCCACTTCCTGACCCAAGAAGAAGGAGCTATAAAAACAACGTTTTTTTGTTGAGTCATGGGTCATGACTCCACTAGTTGTTGTTGCTTTAACAAAAAAAAACACAACACAATCCTAATTGTTTGGCTCTTGCTTTCTAGGTGCAGATAGCCGCCCTTTTGTTTGGTTGTTTACACGGAAGCGGGTTGGCTGATTGGGCCAAAGACCAACGTTTCCGCCTTTTCTTTTCTTTTTTTTTGGGGGGGGGATGCTGAAAACAAAAGTTTAACTTCTGCTTCGAGGAGTTGAATATCACATTTAGCAGATTTGGAGGATCCTCGTGCATCAATTGATTTTAGGATATGCTTGGTCCCGTCCCTCAAACTCCTCAGGACTCAGGACTCTAAGGATGATGTGTGATGATGCAAAACGGCACATTGCTAGGAATCTATCCGCTTTCAGTGGTCCTTTGATTTAACGACTTATTCACACCCAATTGTTCCAACTGTCAAACTCGTTCTGCCTTAACCACCTTCAGGCGCCCAAGCTCCCTTAGTTGAAACCAGCTGTTGGCACGCCAATCCCACCTGGCCGCCTCTGCTTTTTCTTCTATGTGTAACGTTTATAAACTCAGTATAAACGGCTGTGGGTCGAAAATGGGTACCCAAAATGGAACCCTGATAAATGGAACCCACGACAAAGACAGTCCTTCCCCTGGTTCAATTTTGACCCACACCCATATAACCAAATCCATTTAGGAGGCCTACCGCACCGATCCATGCCGCACCGAAGCCGCCTCAGGCGGGTGCGGTGCGTGCCTTAACCCACCCGCTGAGCTCGTTCGCTGGCCTGGCGCAGATGACGCACCCCGTGCCCTGCGGGTCTGGGAGTTTGGCCTACGACGAGGTGTGGCGTTGTCCGATGTTCTTTCTCCGGTTGGCTGGTTGGTGGGCCTTGTGGGTGCCGCGATTTTGAGACGCAACCAAATCGCGGGGTCGACTTTCAGGACACAAAGGGCAGTCAGATGAAATGGAGTAACCTGATCTAAGAAATTAAGCCTCAAGTAGATCTAGAAGATAGAAGTCAACCCCAAGGAATCCAGATCAACCAAGGCGTCAACCAATCCAAGACTTCGGCCGATCTAAGCCAGGCTTCGATCGGTCGAGGTCCTCTCGGCCCTGAGGTGCCGAAGCTCCGGTGCCTGGAGCTGACGGACCCGGCGCCGCGCCGAAAAGCCACGGGTGGGCGCGACATCGAAACAAAAACACCCTGGCCCGGCGGGTTTTTGAGGGGACGCCGAACGGGTTTGGGGTTTAGGGTTTAGGGTTTAGGGTTTGACCACCATACTGGTGTTTTGAAAGGGAAAGCATAAGGAGGTTGTTCAATTCAAGGGCCTTTAAACAATGGTTGACACAAGGGCCCTACGGCCCCACCCCTGAAAGGTATGGCTCAAAGGCAGGGATTGTATCCTCGAACTGTCCTCAACGAATCCGGCCATCCCAAAATTTGATTCCCTTCTGTTTTGGCAAATATGTTTTTAAGGGTGTTCCGTGCAAGCAGGAGAAAGACCAGCAAACGCCCAAAGATGGGCGTTCCATCCGTTTCGGTGCCAGGGCTGGTAGGGCCATAGAGCTCCCAGAGCTGACAGATGCTGGGGGTGTCTTAGAACAGGTTCTTTCCCCTTAGTTGTCCCTACCCACGCCCAAAAAGGTGCCCTCACAAAAGGTGCCCATAACATAGAAACAAACAAAGGCCAGGATGAGTTGAATATGGACCCATGTTCCTTCGAATACGGAGCACACGCACTCGAAACAAAAGGCCGCTTCGCCCCAAAGCCCAGGTGGTGCTGGTGCCTGGGCAGTCCAACGCCAACTTCCACGGGGATTTGTTGGCCACCCATGTGGTGCTTCAGGCCCGGAGCGCCCGGAGCGACTTCTCGGCTCTTTGGGTCTTGAGGAATCAACTTTTTGGAGAATGAACATGGGTGTGTTTGATTTGGGTAATACACTTTTTGGGGTTGGTGCAAAGCAAACCAAAGGGAAGCTGGTTTCTCATGGAACCGTTGAAGCCAAAGGGAAACCAACCATGCTTTTAGGTCCCCTTTTTTAAGACGCGCCCATATGTTATTTCCCGACTAAGCAGCAAGGAGTCTTGTGTGCCGTCCAACGATGAGCAGGTTACAATCATTCAGATATCCCTTGATTGGTGCTTTGGGGTTGGCGGTTTGGATTTGGATTTGAACCCCTAGTTCTAGCGGGTACATGGGAAACTGCCCTTAAACACCAAACCGGCGCGGAGTTTTCTGCTCACTGATTCTGTACGAACGAGCTGAGTATGAGTTCCTTGGCTTGGGGATCCAATTATTTCTTCGTGTTGGGATTAACTTTGCAGATGGAGCTAACTAGGACAACAGAGGTTGCCTAACAAGAAGCAAACAACAACATGGCTATTTCCTTCTTACGAAGTGGGGTGAACATCCGAGTAGACTCTACATATTGCGAGTGAACCAACCGGATCCAACCACAAGACCCATGGTAAACTGCGGGAAATCACAAGGCTCGCCTTGTTCGCATGCGGGCAATATACAGTTGGCATCCACCAAAGAGCAAGCAAGAGCCCTGAAAATTCACCATCCAGCAAGGAGGTTCCCCCACGGGTGGATCGCACCAGTAAAGGATCCTCAACATCACAAGTGTCGTTTGTGGTCATCTAGGTCCATATCTTTCATTGAAGGTACTTTCAGACATCAGCTTTTGGGTCATGTTTCAGTGGACCCCTCAAAAGCCGATGATATTAAGTGGAAGTGCAGGTCCTGATATGATCCATCATGGAAGGATTACCCTCCCTCCAACAAGCTGACAGGAATATGTGGAGTTGTAGAACCTCCCTGTCCAATGTTCGTTGGAAATGAAAGAGGGTCGGAGATATAGCAACTTGTTCATTCATGCCAGCTTGGGACTAATTTCGGTGTCATGTTTGTGCTGGCGGACCGTTAACCGTGCCCGCAAAAGTGCGTTTTTTGGGACATGCTTGTTTTGGCCCCATGTGGCACGGTGATCCGTTCGTCAGCGCGGGGGTGGGGGGTGGGGGGGAAGGGGGGATGGTTTTCACACACCCTGTGAGTTACGCACACATGCACACGCGCGCAGAACACACAATGTTGTCGCATGCGAGACACTATGGCCCATGTAGAAGCGGCTTTCCTTCCACTTACGCATGTCCTGCTGCTTTGAATTTCGGGCCATGGCTGCCCATACAAAGATGTGAAGGCTCTCTTCACGTGCTCAGGCTCCGAGCTCGATTGTTGACACCAAGATCCTCACTAGTGTTTGGCAATTCTGTTTGGCTGGGTTCCTTTTGCTGATAGCATGACGGTTGCTCTTGTAACTTCTTTCAAATGTTGTGCACGATGTTCTTTTACACCTATTGCAGCTGTTGTGAAATGGTCATCATTAAATAAATCGTAAATGTGTAGAGCGTGTGCCATATTTAGGAAATCGAAGGAAATCCCACGCCTGCCACGCGAGCGTTTTCAAAAATACACTTTTGCGGGCACGGCTGACGGTCCGCCAGCATGTTTGTGCGCAGGGCTGACCAGGCTTTTTTAGAAAGCAAGGGACTCCAGAAAAGTGTACGGGTCTAGAGTGTTTTCCTGGAAAAGGATCGAAAGCAAATTCTGCTGGTGCCTTTCAAAAGGATCCTCCAGAAACGGTCACCATGTGGTCAGGTTTAGGCAGATCCAATGAATTGTCCTTTTTTCACCATCCTCATTGATGCTGTCGCTCAGCGCGCTTTCACACGTGGGACATCCTTTTTTAGGTCAATTTTGGTTGGACATAGATGGCACTGGTGTAACCATGGGTTTGATTCCATTCACCAGGGCCATCGATTTGTCCAAAAGGTCACCTATGACCTCGAAGACTCCCCCGGTTGAGAGAAAGCTTTGCTGCTCAGGCGGCGGACACGCGGGGCGCCTTCCTGGCCGCGCTGAGGAAAGGGCCACACACCACGCCCTGTGCCATCGTGCCCAAGGCACGGATCGGGGCGTTGGGGTAGTCCCATGGCGAGCTCACTGAGCTGGGGGTAGAGCGAGATAGACGATGTGTAGGTCCTCCATGTGTGGGGAGGTACCAAAATGGAGCCCTGGTAAGTGGAAACATGGACCAAAACCTGCGTAGGCCCCCCCTGTTTAATGTTGAGCCACACCCAGATTTGCAGATGGGGTCCGTTGTCCAAATTTCGGTCTATGCCCAATTAATTTCGAAGGGACGTGGGAGACTCACAAGTTCCTGTGGTTTGCTTTGAACGGCTTCATTTGGTGTACCTTTTCCTGAAGCCACATTGTTTTTGCGTCAGGGTCAAATGGGAACGCTGGTCTGCAGGCAATTTAGACACATGGGGGCACTCACAAAACTTCAACCGCGAAAGCGGCGTCTCCATGCAAGTTTGTCTCAAACATAGACCTGAAAAGTACTTGGTTTCCATTTGGTTTGCCTAGTCGAAACGGAGATTCCCAAAGTCTTCGTCTGAGTCCCGTCAACCAAATGCGCCCACGATCCCACATGCCCCCATTGAAATTCATACCTCAATTGAGATTCACACCCAGAATGTAATCTCTGGCGGGGTGAATATGCTATTCTCCGTTTGGTCTTCAGGTGGGGGGTGGGATCTTCTTACAAGGGATTAACGGGCGCAACACCCCTTTTCGGACCCCTTGTTGCGGGGTTCCTATACTTATTTCCCCTTGAAGGGTGGTGTTAAACATTATCTTTTGGGCCAATTGTTAAGTGAGTTCTCTTATCTTCGTGGCTCCCAGCCATCCCCTTAGCTTTTTAGACTTTTAGTGTTTTGTGTATTTCCATTTGACCCACTAAAAGTTAAACTTTTAGCAGGGGATCTGAGGGCAGCCCAGTTATGGCGTGATCTTTCAGGGTTGAAATATCGGTCGGCGTCCTTGAGTCGAAAAGTGCCCGGTGGACGAAGTCGTGAGGTGGCCATGAAGTTCTGGAGCGGCGAGGAGCGCATGATCTTCGAGTACGTGCGGAAGGGGGGGCAGCTCTATAGCATCGGGGGCCACCAGAACCGGGCACTGCTGGAGGCGGGGGGGTTGGGTTCAGGTGGCGGGGGGGGAAGGGTTTACGAGAACAGAGTGCCCTTTTCCCCATGACTGCAGTCCATGGGGCAAGCAATTCCCCAGGAGCACCAGGGAACTCCTTAAGCCTCCCAAGTCCTTCTAGCTGTCACCGTGCCTCCTTTTGAAATGCAAATTAGCATGGCCAAAAGGCGATTCCTGTAACGCTGTGTCCCTTTCTTGGGGGGTCAGTAGTGTCAATCTGCGGGGGAGAAACTCAAATCATAGGTGTCCTGGGTATTTAGGTTTCAAGTTGGATCCACTGATTTACCAGTACGTACCATCTATGTTCCCACCCTCATTTGAGGGGTGTTCAAAAAGTGGAGGCCTTTTGTTGGCCCCTTTCGTGCCGTCCAGAAGGGAAAATGACCTGCACCGGGTGTCCAACAGCGGGATCGCTTTTCTTTTCTCCGGCAACTGACAGTGTTTCTGGTAGTCGTTGGTTTGTTCCTCCCCCAAATCAGCGGAAGGAACGTGTCCAAGAAAACTGCGATTCCCAAAAGGAGTTTCCTCTACAAATGGGGGTGGGTGGCTTAGAATGTTCTTCCATCAATCTATATCAATCTGTAAACTGAGAGGCTACTTTGCCACCTGGCCTTCAAGGAGGTGACACCCCGGCCATAGATATCAAAGCAACGCAAAAAAGAAGTGACCGAAAGAAGCGGGTTGGGATCTACGATGAATCTGTGGGGAGTTCAAAACGCCTTGTGTTGTCTTGTTCTGAAAAAGGGTCCTCCGTGGCTTGATGGCTTGGCCCTTTTTTACACTGGCAAGCTGTGAGGGGTAGGTACCCACTTTGTCTAAGTTTTGAGTTTCCTGGTCCGAGTTTTCCATGTTGGCAGAGGTCTTCGGCCTCACGGCGGCGCACGGCCACTCGGGGAATTTGCAGTTCTTGCAGGACATGGGCGGGGAGGCGGGGGATGTGCCGTGCGGCTGGGCTCGTCGATTTTTCAGGCTCGGTATCCCATTTTTGGTGGTGAAGGGAAACCAAGAAAAGATCGCCCTCATGTCCGGGGGGGGGGCCCTAGACACACGCAGTTGTTCAAACCTTTGGCTGAATGGGAACTGGATATGTGTCAAGACAGGAGAACCCCAGCATGCAGCAATGTGGTGTTCCTTTTGGTTTCCCGCTGAAGCCATCCCATATTGCCACTTTCGGTGATACCAAAGGGGACATCCACTTTTTCAAGGACTGGTATCGCAGACTTAAACCGCCGAAAAAATGCATATCTGCCCCAGGCTGCCAAAAGGGTACAGGTTGAGAGGTGGTTTTCCAGGTCTCCAATGCAGCTCCCAGGCCGACCGAAAAGCGGAGAAGTGCGGATTTCTGCCAAAGCTGCCGGTGCTGAATTCCATGAGCTCCGTCAAGCTGGGCGCCGATGCGCGCGCTCATCACTTTGGGCAAGTGGTGCGCGGCAAAGGCCGGGGATGGGAACTGAGCCAAGCGGTGGCGTTTTGGGTCCGAACGTCTTTGGGATGAGGAACCGGGCGAGGAGGGGGGGGGGGCAAGAGGTTCAGGAAATGCTCACTCCCCCGAATTGATGCACTTTGCTCACTTGTTGGGCTTGCACTATTTGAGTGGCACTCAACAAGTTTGGTCTTTTTGGCCCATCCACTCAGGAAGTGAGTTTTTGGCTAGGAAGTTCAGTAGGGAGCATTCTCCAAAACGCCAAGACTGGTTAGATGGAAATGGACGGGCTGGAAGCTTTTCGGAGCTTGGATGACGTGGCTATAGGAGTCTTCCTCCACCCGCTCTTACCCGCTTCTTTGCTTGCCTAGCGCAGGTGCCCCGTTCAATGAACATCTCACCTGCCGCATCCTCAGGTCTCTACGCCGCAGAAGAGACCTACTCGGAGTACAACAGCTTTGGAGTCCTAGTTGGCAATCGTGGTATCCTTTTCTAGGTAGTTTTCCTTGGACATACCTTCTGTTTTCCCTCGATAGGTTGGTTTCAAAAATCCAAATTAGCCCTTAAAGAAAGCGAGGGGATCCCCCGTGTGATTTGGGGAAACCCTGGTACTCGGTTATGAGTTGTGTGAGTGTCAACCTTCAAATTGTCACACCAGAAAGAAGGGCCGGCTTGCTCCCAGCTTAACCCTCACTGTTTGTGGCGTGAGCATTTCTTCCAAGAAGGAGCTTGGAACCCAACCAATGTTTAACTGTTTGTAACATAGTCCTGGAGAGGATACATTTGGGCCTCTGAAGAAGTTACCCAAATGCCTGAAGATCCAAATCCTTGTAACTTGTGCTGGACCCCTGTTAAACGGCTCCAACCCAGTTGCCGTTTCTCAAGAATCAGGGACACCTAAAGGGAGACCAAGCCAAGCACCTCTTTGAATTTCGAGAACACCCGCGAGGCGTGGTGGAGGTGGAAGTGGGTCATGGGGTGCTGGACTACTTCGCCTTCGACTGGTTCGACGAGGTCCAGGAGGACCGGACTCCCCAACCTGAAGGGTCCGGAGCGGGTTGGGTTTGCTTTTTTGGGATGTGTTTTTGTTTTTTTTCTCCGGGTGGGTTCGAAGGCCGCCCTCCAAAAAAGGAAATCAGGGGCACCACTGGAGTCTGAAAGCAACGGTTCCTTCCAGAGATTCTCCTTGATAAAACCAAAGATTTAACGGGCCCACTGGGTGGGCTTCAAATTGGGGAACCCGAAATATGGTGTGTTTTCCTTTTGGCTCCACCACGACATTGGTTGATTCAGCCTGGCCGGCTTTCAAAAGCCGGTTCGGTTGATTCATTGAGCTCCTCATTAGGGGAAACCACTGAAAAGATGATATGGGTGTGGCTCAAAATTAAACAGGAGGGGTTACGCAGGTTTTGGTCCATTTTTCCACTTACCAGGGTTCCATTTTGGTGCCGGTTTTTTGAGCCACAGCCATATTTCCCAAATGGTCCTTTGGGGGACAGGAGTATTCATCCACCCCCACGGCATTGATTCCCATCCGCCCCAAGGACCGACGGCCCTGGGCCATGCAGTTCGCCCTACTGGCCCAGTGCAACGCAGAGCACCGGCCCCACGTGTCCGCAGCTCCAGCGCAGCCACAGGCCTTTTTTTTGTGGTTGAAAGGGTACCGCTCTTGGGGTGTCTTGGAAGGGACGCCATGGCAAACCACCTAACTTATGGGTGTTTGATTGTGAGTCGGGTGATTCCCTGTCATTTCCAGGTCAAGGGAGCCACAAACAAAACCTTGGGCAAGAGAAGGTCAAACACATAAATTGGTGCGGCCGCCCTTTGGCTTTTTACATACCTTGGGTAGACTCCTCTCATTATGACTGAAGAAGGAAGCCTTCAATCGCCACTGTTGGAAATCGGGGAACACTCGCGTTTGGTGGATGACCTCAAACAACTTGATGGCAACAAGGGCTTCCTCTTTGCAAAGGCTTCTTGGAGGGTCCCCCGTTTGTCCTTAGTTTGGTTGCTCCTGGAGTGACCTTCGAGGAAAAGAACTGTTTACCGACCAGCCAAAAGTTCATAAAGGTTCAACTTGTTGCAGTCGGACAGGTTGACCAACCCAGGCTTGGTCGTGGAGCATGGCGTTGGCAGAGTTTCAGTGCAACCGGACCAAGAACCTGGGTGATAAAGATCAACCGCTTCGGTATCTCAAATTTCGTGTGATTTCCATGAGCGTTTTTAGGAGACCGCCTCAAAGTGTTTGGTGGACATAAATCCCAACCTAATTGATGCCCACCGAAGGATTCCCAGGATCCCCTATTAGAACTCTCTCGAGTTCACACCCCATCAAGATTCACACCCTTTGAATCAACCAAAAAGGCAGGGACCCTTCCCTAGAATTCACTTGAATTCCCCTATCACACCCAAATGAACCAACAAAGGAGGGACCCTTCAAAGCACCTGGCCCACATCGCTGTTTTCTACCGCAGGTTTTGCGCCGCGACCTTCGGCCGGACCTTGCCGCAGGCTTGGCCGGGAGCTCCCGGGGCCGGAGCTGCCGCGCCGTCTGCGGTGGCCGCGGCCGCGGCGTACCCCGTGGCGGCGGGAGGAGAGCCGTGGGGTGTGACCATAGGCGTCCTTTTTTGGGCTATGCTTGGTTGGACATAGATGGCACTGGTGTCGATGGGTTTGATTCCATTCACAAAAGGGCCATCTATTTGTCCAAAAGGTCACCTATGATGGTTCGAAAGAGAATCCTCGTGACGAATCGGTCATGGAAAGTACCCCATAGTGACTGAAAGTTCCATGTGCTGTGGGAATCAGGCGCATTGGTAAAACAGATTTCTGGTGGTTTTCCACAACCAGGACAGCCATTTGCCCCGGATCAGCAGCCCTCGGCAGATCAGTACGCGCAGTATGCGCAACCGGGCCGCTTGTTGGCGGAAAAGGAGGAGCACCCGGAGTTGAAGGCATGGCGAGTTCTCGGACATTTGTGATGCGTGTCGTTTTTAGGGACTTCGTTGGGGGGTTAGTTTAAAGGTAAACCAACAGGAGTCCGTTCAAAATGATGGGCTGCCCACTTTCCTGGCCATGCCCATTTTGGTTTTAGCCAGCTTTAGATTCCCGGTTTAGCACAATGTTGCCCTGAAATAACAGTGTGGTATACAGAATATCTAGTGTTGACTCCCTTGCTTAGTCAAGTAGCCTGAAATGGCGTTGATGATTTCAAGTTTGGCTTCGCATGTTTAGTCCAATGTTGGCCTGAAATGACCTTTTGATTCCGAACTTTGGCTTGTGACTTTTGACTTTCCGAATTTGGCAACCATGTTAAGTCAAAAGGATGCTATTTTCCAGTTTTTTTGGCGAGGTTGCTCAGCCAAGAGTTGCGAAGTAGAAGAACCCAAGGCAGGTGTGCCAAAACGATTCCGCCTGTTTTGGTGAGCAACCTCTGCACTTCGTCGATTTTTGTGCGCAGCGCTCATCTTTGTATTTCTCTGGGGTGAAAGTGGGAGAAACCCGGAGGAACCATTGTTTGATCTTGCCCGACTGCTCCCGACTCTTTTCCATACGGCGGCGAGGTCTGCAGGGCTCATGACACTTAGGGCGGTTGAAAGGAACCCGAAGTAGCACATGCTTGTTGTTGCCAGTTCTGCTCACGTTTGTTTCTTTAGGAGTGAAGGTGGGGAGGAACCCAGGTCTTTAGAAATTCGATTTTGTGCCGAGAAATGCAAGCTTTGTTGGCACCCCGCTGTACTATCCTCGCAAATCAATATGGAACCCCCTAAACAAGCTACACGTTCCACAGCAGGAGACGTATCTATGTTTGCTCTTTTTCCGGACCCTTTGAAGCCCAGAACGGCGCCAGGGGGGGCGGGCAGCCCAGACGCAGCTTTCGGCCAGGCGCTGGACGCTTGGGAGGCCGCCAGCCCGGTGACCGGCGATCCCGTGGAGCCGGATCTGGAGATCTCCATCGCCATGCCCTGCGAACTCCAAGGCGCCCGCGGCCCGCGCGTCGAGCGCTTTTTCTTTGTGCGCGCTTGCTTCGGACGGGGGGATTGCTTCGGCGCGATGTCGCGCCGCTCGCGGCGATGTGGCGCCGTTGCCCGGCGCCGAAGATGTGTGTTGTGTGTGTGTGTGTGTGTGCTATGTTGTGCTGTGCTGTGTTGTGCTGTGCTGTGTTTCAATGTGTTGTGTTGTGGTGTGGTGTGGTGTGTTGTTTTGTGTTGTGTTGTGTTGTGTTCTGGTGTGTTGTGTTGTGTTGTGTTGTGTTGTGTCATGTTGTGTTTTGTTGTGTGGTGTTGTGTTATGTTGTGCTGTGCTGTGCTGTGTTGTGGTGTGTTGTGTTGTGTTGTGTTTTATTGTGTTGTGTTGTGGTGTGGTGTGGTGTGTTGTGTTGTTTTGTGTTGTGGTGTGGTGTGGTGTGGTGTGTGTTGTGGTGTGGTGTGGTGTGTTGGTTTTGGGTTGTGGTGTGTTGTGTTGTGTTTTAATGTGTTGTGTTGTGGTGTTTGTGTTGTGTTGTGTTGTGTGGTTTGGTGTGTTGTGTTGTGTTGTTTTGTGTTGTGGTGTGGTGTGTTGTGTTGTGTTGTGGTGTGGTGTGTTGTGTTGTGTTGTGTTGTGGTGTGGTGTGGTGTGGTGTGTTGTGTTGTGTTGTGGTGTGGTGTGGTGTGGTGTGTTGTGGTGTGGTGTGGTGTGTTGTGTTGTGTTGTGTGTTTCATGTTGTGTTGTGGTGTGGTGTGGTGTGTTGTGTTGTGTTGTGTTGTGGTGTGTTGTGTTGTGTTGTGTTGTGGTGTGGTGTGTTGTGCTGTGTTGTTTTGTGTTGTGGTGTGCTGTGTTGTGTTGTGTTGTGGTGTGGTGTGGTGTGGTGTGGTGTGTTGTGTTGTGTGGTGTGGCGTGGCGTGGTGTGTTGTGTTGTGGTGTGGTGTGGTGTGGCGTGTCGTGTTGTGTTGTGTTGTGGTGTGGTGTGTTGTGTTGTGGTGTGTTTTGTGTGTTTTGTGGGGTGGGTGGGGTGCCCTTTTCACCTCCTTTGCCCCAAAGCTCAAGCTGGTCTTGACAAGGGGATTCGAATCCATTTGGTTGCTTTGATGCAGGGTTCTGGTAGAGATGTGTTTTTCCAATGCAACAAGCTACATAATTAGAACGGGGTTGTTGGGCACTTGAAAATCAAGAGTCGTGATTCTAGGAGTAGAGGATTAAGTTTCTTCGCCCTGATAGTATGTTGCGCTTCTGTTTTCTTTTGCAGGGGGGTGGGGGCGGGGGTGGGGGTGTCTTGTTGGTCTCAATACTTATGGAAACCAAGACCATGCGGAAACGGGCAACCTGTTAGACCTCTGGCTCCCATTGTCTTCGAATTCAGCGGTGGGCACCACTGGGCATTTGGGCGACTTGTTCTTTTCAAGAGGACATGTTTAGAGTTCGCCCACTGACCCACTGCCCAAAACGGCACAAAGGGTCCGAGTCTGAGCATGTTTGTCACCTTTACCATCCGGAGGATTTTTCCCTCGGCTCCCAGCCGGTTTGTCGGCTGCGTCAGGTGAGCCCAACTGCGAAAAGGTGCGCCAGACCATGGTGCAGCAGCTCTTGGAGGGCTCGGCCTTCTATGAGACGCTCCAGGACCATGGCATTCAGCGCCTGGAAGTGGGGTCGACCCCAGGAAGAAAAAAAAAACCGCAACCCATTTTTTTGGTGTAGCAGCATGTACCCCTGAAAGTGACCCCTGCATTTGTTTGTACTTGTACTTTGGGTATACAGGTTGGCCCTGAAAGGGGATCGTTTTTGTTTGTTTGGGCTGGTAAAGAAAGGGCCCCCCAATTTATGAATGGCAAGCGCTGGAGATGTCAGTGCTAGCTACGGGTTAAATCCAGGATGGTCATCACTGCCTTAATACGAAGTTTAGATATCACAAGGGTTCCTGTTGAGAGGGCCACGATCATGAACCTACACAACAGGTGTTGCCATGGCACGCATTGGGCTTTACACGACTTTGTCATCCTTTGTCAACTCTTGTGAGTGCTCACGTGTTGTCAGTTACCGAGTGCTAGATCCCTAGGCTTTCACTTCCTGGAGCTGTGAACAGCACAGTATGGAGTGCCTCAAACAAGGGACCGCCAGAATGGTGCTTGTAAACCAGTCCCCAAAACCCGGGTGGGTCCAAGAAGACACATATGAGTATGTGTCAAAATAGGGCCAGGGCCCCATGTTTGTTTGAGGACAGACCCATATTTACCCCTTTGGGTGTGCTCTGTTTTCTTTTTGGAAGGGGGGGGCACAGATGGTGGTCTTCCTTTTGGTTGCCCTTTTAAAACCAGCCCAACAAGGAGTGCCCTTACAAATTGACAGCCCCATCTGCCTTCCGGTTGCCCTTATTAAAAAACAAAAAAAACAGCCCAACAAGGCGTGCCCTCAAAAAAAAGACAGAAGCGAGCAGGACGGCGGCATCCAGTTGGAGCTCTCCCACTTCGCTCCGCCCCACGTCATCCGAGTCCTGTCCCGGTGCCCGCCCTTGGAGGAGTTGAGGGGAGCTGGGGATTTGCCCGGAGCGGAGGGGAAACGGAACCCCCCGAAGATGTCCCACCCAACGGGGAAAAGAGTAGTCACCCTTTGTTGTTTTTGGATGTGTTTGGAGCGCACCCTGTTTAAGGTTGGTCGAGAGGGAAGCCAAGAGGAAAACCGTCATGTTGATCCCATTTAAACAACGGCGTATCAATATGGTTGCCAAAGTTTGTTGACTTACCAAGCTCATGTTTTTGTTGCTGTTGCTACGCTTAGCTGTTTTTCCATGATTGCCACTCTTCATTGTCTTCGCTGTTAGACAAGGTCATGATTGTCGATGTTCGTTTACGTTCAATTTGGCTGCGAAGGATCAACCCTCGCAGTTGCCTTTTTTGTTTCAAATTTTGTCCAACTCAACTGGGTCTATGTTTGGGTGGCAACTTCGATCCTCAAAAGATTAACGCCGCCCACCCCTCCCTCGCCCTACGCCCCCCATGCTCGGGGGGCAGTTTTGGTTTCTGGGCGCGGGGACTTGGCCCCGGAGCCTTTGGAGGACATCGCGGAAGGTCTGCTCTACATGAACGCCGCCTGTGACTTTGGGGCCGAGGGCCAGGAGCGGGCCGGGCATGGGGCGATCCGCTTTGGACTTCCTAGCAGGGGGGGGGGAAGTTGGTTTGGGTATAAAGACTTAGGTGGTGGCTTTGGATTGTTGGTTTGGGGGGGGGGGGGGGTGAGAACCGATGCCCAAAATGCTCCCGGGAGCTGTGGGTCCTGCACCAAACGAGATGCCGAATCCTATGCAGCAGATTTGTTGGGGCCTTTTTGACGGGAAGGTAGAGGCGGTGAGAAGCCCGCTAAAAAATAAAACAGTCACATGCAACCATGCACCACCAATGGAAAATCCACCAGCCAAGGTGCCTCTTGACTCGGTCAGTTTGGTGTTCACGTGTCAGTCTTTCGAACCTCCAGTTTGTGGCATCGCTGGACCCCACCAGAAAGTTGATCGGCGTTTGATTCGGGGTAAGGGAATCCAGTTCCTGACTTACGATTATCATAATGATGGTTGAACCACCTACTCAACATGTTCCACTGAGAAGCATTGTCTGGTTTGATGGTCGTACCAAATCCTGAACTATATAGATCGGCTTTCCCTTGATTTGTGCCTTGCGGGTTTGGAGCTTCAGCAAGGGTTCGAGTCTCCAAGCCGGGTTCGAATCCCCTACCCCCCAGATTCCCTTCTAAAATGGACCAAAGGGGGTTCCCCCAAAAAGGCATCTGGGTTTTGACCCGCGTTTATGTTAACGAGCACTTTTCACAGGTTTGGCGAAGGCTGGGGCTTGGACTCCAGGGATGGACATCTGGAAAGCCCGTTCGAAAGGGATGGTCCGCTTCAGCGATTCCGAGGAAAGTCGCAGTGGCCATCGATGTTGACCAGCTTGGCTGGCAAACCGGTCTTGTTTTTGCCATTTGGACCCGCGGCTGGTTTCACCTTGTCCGAGAAAAAACCACCCCCTTGGATCCAATTTGGTTTCCGGGTTTGTTAGGAATCGCCCGGAACAACAAAACTCAAAGAGAACCCAACATTTTGGCTCCTTCTTGGATTTATGCTGCGATGGGTATGTGTCAAAATAGGGGGACCCCCTTTACACCACCTGAGACGGATACCCTGAAACACCTGTGCCCTGGTCAAAAGACTCCTTGGCATCAACAGGAATGGTCATCTGGTAAGGTTAGTAGGGGTCCTTAACCATGATGGTTCCTATTGGGGGAGCCATGTCCATATATGTCCATATATGTCCATAGGCCAAACAAACGAGAGTTTTGAGTTTTGACCATGGCATGCGAGGCGACGCTCGAATCGAGTCGCGAGGACCGCTTTACCAGCTCCACGGCCTTCTTGCGAAAGCACCTCATCCAGTCGCGGCTGGGGGTGGAGGTGTTGACCAAGGACGAGCGCCCAACGAAGAAGAAGGGACGGATGGCAAACTCGAAAGGAATACCAAAAGGAAAACAGAAGGAAAAACAAAAGGGAAAGCCAAATGGTTAAAAAAAAGGAACACCTACAGGAAAACAACCAAACTGGGTGTGGCCCGTTTAGAGTTGGCAGTCATTTAGGGACACACGTTTATCTTTGTTGGGGTCTTGTTCCTTTCCTTTTAGTTTTCCATGAGTTGGGTTTGTCTCAAATTGGGGAACCCTCAAAATGAGTGGTGTCTGTTTAAAAAAGACAACCAACCAACTCAACCAACTATCGCGGGAAGTGGTCAAAAATGGTTAGAAAGCATTGTGAGATAGGAATCCACGCACGTAAGATGCAAGTAGCCGCAGCAGAGGTTCCGCAAAAGATTTCTCTACACTAATGTCCACTACAGTTATGCAGAAAGTCCTGGACAAGATCTCTGTGGCAGGATCTGTGGATAGGATCTCTTGGCAGAATCTGTGTGCAGGATCTTCGAGAGAATCCTCTACAAGTCATCTCTTCAGGATCTGTAGGGAACATCCTCTAAAGAATCTCTCGAAATGCATGTACTGCGCGAGATTTGTTGAGAGGATCTCCATGGAGGACCAGCACAAGATTTCTGTGGCAGGATCTCTGTATGGGATACCCTCTACAAGTGTTCTGTTGAAGATCTGTAGCCAGGAAACCTTGCAGCTCCTGCGCAAGACCGGCGCAAGGGCCTTTGTGGGAGGATTTTCCCCAACAGCTGAAAGCTTTGGGGTCTCAGCCCAGATAGGCTCCGGGGTCGTCCGGGGCGGCTTTGAGGCAAGAGCATCTTTGCAGAAGATCTGGGTAGGGTCGCTTGGCAGGATCCATTAGAGGACCCTCTGCGAGTAGGAGGCATTCTCAACAAGACCTCTTGAAGGGAAATCTGCCCAGGTTCTGCGCAAGACCTTTTTGGAGGATCTCTATGCAGAAAAGAGGGCCGAGGCGAAATCCGTGTGGGAGGGCCTTTACAGGATTTGCACGATCTTCGTAAGGATCTGGGTGGGGCCGCTTGGCAGGATCCATTGGAGGACCCTGTGAGAGAAGGAGGCATTCTCAGCAAGACCTCTTGAAGGAATATCTGCCCAGGTTCTGCGCAAGACCTTTTAGGAGGATGATCTCTACGCGGGAAAAGAGGGCCAAGGCGACATCCGGGCCTTTACAGGATCTTTGCACGATCTCTGCGCAAGATCGTTTAATAGGGTCTCTTGGCAAGGTTTATGCACAAGATCCTCGAGAGGGTCTCTACAAGTTCTCTGTCTGTTCAAGACCTGCAGAAACACCCTGTGCAAGATGACTTGAAAGGAAATCTTTGCAGGTCCTGCGCAAGACCTTTTGACAGGGCTCCTGTGAAGGACGCGCGCAAGGTGTTTTTGGGGGAGGATTATTCCAGGATCTCTGCGCAAGATCTCTTGATAGGAATTCTTGGCAAGATCTGCGCAGGACCCCCGGTTAGGATCTCTTGATAGGACTTCTTGGCAAGATCTGTGTGCAGGATCCATAGGAGGATCCTCTACACATTCAAACTCTCTGTCCAGGATGTGGTGAGAGCAGGCGACCCGAGCCGTGTAAAGCCCACAGAGGGTTCACTTTCGATGTTCAAAGTTCGGACCGCGCAGCAACGAAAGTGATCCGACCCGCCCGAAGTCTGCAGAGGGCTCATTTTCGATTCTCAAAACACGCGCCGTGCCACACCAACACCGATTCAACGTGTCCAAAACCCGCAGAGGGTTGACTTTTGGTTTGTCGCTGGAGATGCACACTGTTGCTTGAAATGTACACCGCATCACAGCCACAACGATCCGACCGCAGTGAGGGCTCACATTCGATGTTCAAAGTTCGCAAAATCGTACCGCGCCACAGACAGAGCGATCGAGTGTTCAACAGCGATTGCGCACACCCAAAGTCCGCACAGGATTGATTTCACAGAGAGAGAAAGGGAGCCCCAACACGCCCAAAGTTTGCAGAGGGTGCGCAAATTCACCACTTCTGGATTTCTCCCGGAGCCACAGCAAGAGCGCATCCTTGGAAGCCACCAGAGCCAGCCTGAGCCAGCCACGCACTTTCCGCGAGCCTGCGCAGGCGAAACGCGCGCGAATCTCTTACAAAGGAACCTTTTGCGCGAGCGTGCGCAGACGAAACGTTCACCCCCTTGTGTAGACACACTGTTTGGGGAAAAACGGGGCACACCCAGTTCAAAGGTTGTCAAAAATGTGGCCCTTGTGCCGCTTCCGCATGGGCATGCGAAAGGCACCCCAGTTTTGACAAGTCCCCAAACCACGGAACTCCAGAGGAAACCCGCCGCCCGAGTAGTAAGTCAGTACGTCATAGTATGTCCATATATGAAAACTGAAGTATCAACCCCTGATCATTTGAATCAAGCGTCAACCCTGGGAAGCTTGTTGGTATGAAATGAACGGTGAAGAAAATGCGTCTTGGCGAGGCTCCTTGCTTCCCCAAAGCTTTTGACTGCACAAAAAGTGATCACCTTTTGGCTGAGGCCTTCGCAATCCTGTTGTGTGGAGGTGGGCCGAAACAGCTCGGGGGCCGTGTTGTTTTCCAAATCACCATGCTAGTGAGGTTCCTCAGCAGGCTTGTTTTGGGCATCGAGCAAAATTGTGGGCTCGATTCCCTCTGTCATCAGTGTCTATTGCTCGCTTGCTGTGTGTATGTTTGTTTGTTTGCTTGTTTGCTTGTTTGTTTGTTCGTTCGTTCGTTTGTTTGTTTGTTTGTTTGTTTGTTTGTGTTTCCGCCTCGCTCCGCATTGCCCCGCTGAAATTTGGACTGTTGGCAAGGGATCAGCGAAAGAACTGGGGTCATAAACCTCTCAACGTGGCGTGGTTTGACTACCTGGTATCACACGGGTTATAGAAGGCAAGGTGGTAGAACCAAAAGTCAGTGGTTTCGGCGCTGCTCAGTTGTTCAATTGATTCCGCCCGCTTCCCGTTTTGTGTCTTGTGGGTTTCTAAGACAGAGCCAACCATGAATAGGTGCAGCCACCTTCCTGTTCTTCACTTGGCCTTGGGTAGAACCAGGCTTGGTAAGAAAAGGCCGCAACATGAAGCACCCCAACTCACTTTCGTGGTTCCCTTCAAACTCCTGGAGCAACCCGAAACAAACATAGATGGTTTCCTTCTGGTTTCCCTTTAAACCCACAACAACAAAAAGGGCACCCCAAAAAGAAGGCACACCCTGCCGTACGGCCGGAGCCGTCCGGAGCGAGGAGCTGCGGCACCAGGTCTGCCGAAGCCCCCTTTGCCGTGGCCACGTGCTGCACCTCCGCAAGAAGCTCGAGGGCTGTGAAGACCTCGGACACGAGGCCACCGGGCGGCCCTATGGGGGGCCAACTCTATGTATCCCAAAATCCACTATGGCGGTGTCCCTGTTTATTTGTTTGCTTGCTTGCTTGCTTGCTTGCTTGTTGGTTTGTTTGTTTGTTTGTTTGCGACTGTCTTGATTGGGATATGGACCCCCTGTTCGAACTCGACCAACTTTCTGACGGCACTCTTGTGGGTGGTTTCCAGGAGAAACCAAACGGACACCACTCATTTTGGTACTTTGCAGACAAGCCCAGGTTTTTTGCTTTGTATTGCACGTTCTGTTCTGTGTGTTTCTTTCCGATTCTGTTTTATGGCAGGCTTATGTTGTGACCGCCAAGCCGAAAAGGATCGCTGGTTTGTGGCGGACCTGACTGGGATTTCAGCAAGCATCACCAAAAGGAAGCCAACCATGTTTGGTGGCCCTAGGGCACCCGGGGGCCCTAGGGCACCCAGAGTTCCCTTTTTGAAAGGACCTAGCATTGCATTTGCTCAAAAGGCCCGCTGAAAAGGTTTTCCAACTGAATTGGTTCAAGGATTGCGCTTCAAGTGCCCTTCGTTTAACGGTACCCATACCTGTTTCGAGATCGGCTTGAAGGATGCCCCGTTTTTGGAGCCGCCAAAACAGTGTTGGTTCGAAAGGGTCATATCGCCTTTTTGGCAGCCTAACACCCAGAATGCTTTGATCAAAGCGCGACGAACCCTGTCACGAACCGTGGACCCAAAGCAAAATCAGGCGATTCAGGTGTGTCCTTTACGTAATTCTGGGCTTCCAAATGCGTGTCCAACCTTGATTTCGGCAATCTTTTGGGGTAACCTTGATGTTCAACCAAAGAAAGATGTGGGTGGCTTCAAAGGTGCCCTTCACCCAAAATCCGCTTGACTCACTTCCCAGCTAGCCCGGGTTCACGCTCTTTTTTTCTCTGTGGTGGCACACACACACACAGAGCCTGGGAGGTATCTATGACCTATCCTACTAAAATGTGAACATTCCGCACGCAAGGGGCGATGGATGCCCAAAAATTGAAAGTGAACTAACCACAAACCATGATTGAATTTACAGGGTTTCTAAACTTGGCCAAGTAAAGCAACCACAAACCAACCACACCAGCTGCACACCAATCACACACAGACACACAATCCACACTCCAATCGCAAACCAACCACAAACCAACCACAAACCATGGTTGAATGTACAGGGTTTCCAACTTGACCAAGTAAAGCAACCACAAACTAGCCACAAACCAACCGCACCAACCGCACACCAACCATACATCAACCACACGCCAAACCAGCCACAAACCAACCGCACAACCACACACCAATCACAAACCAAACACAAACCACAGTTGAATTTACTTGTCCAACTTGACCAAGTAAAGCAACCACAAACCAACCACACCAACCCCACACCAACCCCACACCAACTACACACCAACCGCAGACCTAGCAGAAACCAACCACACACCAGCCACACACCTACCAGAAACCAAGCACAAACCAACTGCACACCAACCAACTGCACACCAACCACAGACCTACCACAAACCAACCACACACCAACCACACAGCTGCCACACACCAAATCCAGATCCCAAGGAGCCATTGAGCGATTCGCCTTCGTTAGGTCCACGCCGCGTCGGTTTCGCGGATCGTGGGGGCGGTGGCTTTGGGCATGGAGAGCTGCCTGGAGGCGCGCGGACGTCGCGCGTTCGCGGGCGTCACGTGCGCGGAGGAGTGCGGGTTGTTGGAGGGTATTTTGTGTTTTGTGTGGTTTTGAAGGGAGAACGAAAGGAAGACCACCAATCTTGAGGCTCTGTTTTGAGAGAGCCGGGGTAGAACGAGTCATTAAAGTCGTGCTGGTGTTCTTTTGCTGGGGGGTCTACTTATTCCAGGTTCTGGAATTCTTGTGGAATTTGCAGATTTGTTGACTTCTAGGCTTAGCAAAATCAGAAACTATTGCCAATGTCTGAGACCGTACTGACATACCCCAAATGCAGCCGAGAATCAGTGGATACACATGGGTTTTACTGAAACCAGGGCACATGCCCCAAACACCATACTCGGATATGGGGTTTGGGGCATATACCTATCACCTTTGTCTTGTTTGGGCTGGTTCATGTTGACGACTTGGATCATGCACGGTTGATGCCCGGAAGATCGCAACCAAGCGACCATCGCTATCTTGCATGAGTGTTCCCGTTGTGGTAGGGTTGTGCGTGGTACAGTTGCCGGGTCCTCTTTGTTGACCATAGGTGTCAAAGGAAGTTTAGATGAGAAGCTTCCGAGTTAGGGACGACTCAAACCAGACAAGCCAAGAAATGGCAAAGTAAAGAGATATCACTGCAAGATGTCGCCAACTAAAGAGATAGCCAAGCAACGGCAAAGCCAAGTAGAGCAGAGCAAAGCAAAGAAAAATAGCCAAGCATAAACATAGCAGCACAATGGCATAGCAGAGTTGAGACATACTGTGGGTGGACGAAATCCTGCACCACCTAAGAAACCCTGGAATGATGATTCCCCTGTAAATAGCAACGAGCAATGGCTTCCCATGGTTTCAAAGTGGTGCAGAATTTCGTCCATCCACAGTAGCAAAGCAAAAACATAGCAAATCAAAGACGTAGCCAAGCGAAGGCATGGCTGATTAAAGACATAGCTACGCAAAGACATCGCCAAGCAAACACATAGCCAAGCAAAGATGTAGCCAAGCAAAGTCATAGCAGAGCAAAGATGTAGAAAGGCAAAGACATAGCCAAACAGAGCATAGCAAAGCACATAGCCATAGCCAAACAAAGACATTGCCAAGCAAAGCGTTGCAAAGTTTCAAAGGCATAACAGAGCAAAGACATAGCAGAGCAAAGACGTATCAGATGACAAACATAGCAGATCAACCCTCTGCGCATTTTGGCTGGTCAACCTCAAAATCAAATGTTCGTGAGGAGCAGAGATCGTGGCAGGCGCAGCGCATTGTGAGGTGCAGCGGTCGTGAGCGGAACCTCGAAAACGTCTGCTCGGAATCGGCAGCATTGGCACGGCAGCGTGCGCTGTTTCGCAGCCTCAAAAAATCCGTTGCGCACTTTCGGTGGGTCGACCCTCAAAACCTTGTTGCTTTTTTGGGCTCTTTTCACGTTGCCAGGTGAAACCTCTGCCCACGTTTGGCTGGTCGACCTTCAAAAACTCGTTGTTTCGCGATTTTGAAGTTGCTGCGCACTCGGTTCACCGACGGCAAAACCAAATGTTGATGCGGATTGCGTGGCATTGTGCTCGAGATTGCAGTCTGCTTGGAGTCTGCTCTGAATCGGCCGCATTGTCATGGCAACGCGCGCTGTTTCGCAGTCTGAAAAACCTTTAGGTGGGTCCACCTTTGAAAGCTTCTGTTTTTTGTTTTTTTCCGCATTTTTCGCGTTGCCAGGTGAGCCCTCTGCGCACTTTCAGCTCGTCGAGCTTCAAACATTTCTGCTTTCGATTTTGAAGTTGCTGGATCTTCACAAAGCAAATCCTTTGCGCACTTTCGCTTGGAAGATTTCCGCAGCCGAAAGCGCGCAAAGGCTTCGCTTGTTTGACGCGCGTTGCCATTCCCAGACACCGAGCGCTTCTGGTTTCGAGGCGACCGCCGCAGCTCACAAGTGCTGCGCCTGCCACGAACATTACCACACTTGTGGTGATCACTCCAAAAGGGAAACTCAGAAGTTCGCCCAGAATGTGATGCGCGCACCATCCAAGAAGACACATGAGGATGCCTGTAGGTCCCCCAATAGACCAGACCCGTAGGGGCAATCTTTGATACTGGGCAAGCGCAACGATCTCAGGTAGGGTAAAACCGAGTTTACCCGTGAAGATCCTTGACCAGAGGTTCCCTTATTGCCAGTTTGGAAATCACAGTCGCTTGCCCAAACACAGTGCATGTCCTAAATATTGGAAGTCAACTTAACCACACATCCAGAAGAAAATTTGGTCAGTTGCTTGTTTCCCGACTTTCAAATATTTGGGGCATCCGTGCAACCCCCTGCCTCTCCTGGTTTCAAGGGTCTTGGTCCAAGGTGCACAGCGTGGTGCAGGGGGACGCCACCCACGGCGAAGTGGCCGGCGAGTCGGGCCGAGCGGTGGGAGTGTGGTCCAGCGACATGAGCGAGGCGGGGCCCAGAAGTGAGATGGCATGGCAGGTGTGCTGATGTTTGCTTGTTTGTTTGCTTGTTGAGCTGCCTGTTTGTTTGTTTGTTTGTTTGTTTGTTTGATTGTTTGTTTGCGTCTTTGTTTGTGTGTGTGTTGTTGTTTTTTGGCTTATTTCCTTGTTTGCGTGTTTCTTGCTAAGCTGTGTTTCTTTGTTTCTTACTTGGTTCTTTCGGTCCGTCTTATTGTCTTGCTTTTTAAATTTCCGCCGGTCTTGCTTTCTTTCTTTATTTCTTTCTTTCTTTCCTTCTTTCCTTTTTTCCTTCTTTCCTTCTTTCCGTTTTTCCTTCTTTCCTTCTTTCCTTCTTTCCTTCTTCCTTCTTTCCTTCTTTCCTTCTTTCAATTCCTTCTTTTCTTTATTTTCTTTCTTTGTTTCTTTTCTTTCTTTGTTTCTTTTCTTTCGTTCTTTCTTTCTTTCTTTCTTTCTTTCTTTCTTTCTTTCTTTCTTTCTTTCTTTCTTTCCTTCTTTCCTTTCTTTATTTATTTCTTTCTTTCTTTATTTCTTTCTTTCCTTTCTTTATTTGTGTCTTTCTTTCTTTCTTTCTTTCTTTCTTTCTTTCTTTCTTTCTTTCTTTCTTTCTTTCTTTCTTTCTTTCTTTATTTCTTTCTTTCTTTCTTGTTTATCTGTTCGTTCTGTTCTCTTTTGTCTTTATTGTCTTTGTTTCTTGCTGTCTTTTTATTTTATGTTCATGTTCTGCTTGTGTCTTTCATTGTTTTTGTTTTCTCTCTGTTGTTTCTTTCTTTCAGTGTTTCTTTTTGTCCCTGCCACGCTGCGCACACACACACACAGCCCTTAAATGTACCGTGGTCCAAACCTGCCTTTTAAGATTCTCGTGACAAACAGCAAGGGTCCAGATATTCCCCTTTTTTGGTGGTTCAAACAGTTTCCCTTCGATGGGATGGTGAAAGCATAAGGCACCCTGAACAGAAGGGACTCTGGGAAGTTGTTCAGAATCCTGGCCTCCCTTGGGTTTCCCGCCCTAGTTTTGCTTTTCTTCTGTGGGCGTCATGGGTTTCCCTCCATTGCTCGATATGGGTCTGTGTCCAAATGGGAACCCCCAAGAAGATGGCATCTCTTTGATTTACTTTTGCACCACCCCAAAATATACCATCCAAACAAGACACATCCAAAACTTGAAGATAGCGGGATCCCAAGAATGGTGTTTTCCTTTTGAACCAAGCTGAAGAGGGTACCCTCGAAATAAGACACGCCCCTATAAACGTGCGCTGTCCGTTTTGGGGCGCGCCCAACGCGGGTCCCAACGGTGCAGGTGAACGTGGTGCGATTGCAGGGCCTGGACACGGGCAGCCCGGCGGAGATGCGTGCGGTGGAGCACGGGGCGCGGCAGATCTTGGCGAAGGAGCTGAAGCTGCCCTTCTTCGCCTTCGAGGACCGAGCCGACGGCCCCAGTCGCCCGGGGCGAGCCCCGCGGCAGTTCAGGCAAGCTGGCCCCAGTCCATGTCCTCCAAGTGGGATTTAGCCTACATACGGGGATGTGGTCTTTTTTTGGGAGAAGGCGCCCCCTTTTTTGTTTTGTTTTAAAAAGGGCAACCAAAAGGAAACCAACCATTTTGGGGGGTCCTCCTAAAAAAGGCAAACCCACATATACTATAGGGACGGGGGCTCGCTGGCTACCTTCAAAGCAAAGCCAAATGAAGGTCGCTCAAAGCTAGTGGTTTAAGGAACCATGCCGCAGCAGAAAATCCCCCATTCAGTGGATTCCGGGCTCCTCTAAGAAGGCGAAGCCAGTGTGTTCAAGTCATCCTGAAGGATGACGGAATCCCACTTGTTCAGCAGAGCCCAAGCCCCAATTTGTTGATTTATTTTTTAATATTTTTTTAGAAACAACTCAAATGGTATCAACCCCCAAATGTGGGTTGCAGTTCTTGTTGACCTTTCTGGACTGGAACTCGGCTTACGGCTGACAAACAGATTTTCATCAAGCCTTGAACCAAGGGTCACTCCCGGGATTTCGCCACGCAAGGGAGGCGCAGAAGCAAAGCTCTGGCCTTGCAGGCCATCCACTGAAGATTGCCCTTGGGTGACGGAAGGCGAAAGGTCCCTTTCAGGTCCGTAATGTGGCTTCCCAGTGCAGGATCATGCAAAATCGGATGGGATTTCGTTTTGGCGTTTCATGTGGGCAGCCCAAAGCCCCAGATGCAAATCCTGACAGCTTGGTAGAACTTAAAGGAGGGGCTGCCAGTATCGGGCGCTCCTGAAGAAATCGTTCGCAGTTGTGCGGCCCTTTGACTGTTGATCTGTAATGAGTGCCCTTGCCGCAAGGCAGAAGACAGGGTGAGTTTTGTTTGGAGGTTGCCTCTTTCGTTGTGTCCTAAAAGGAAAACAAACACGAAAATTACATTTTGTGTGGGTCCCCGAAAAGAAGACAAGCTCATGCGGATTCTTTACCATGGGTTTTGGGTAGAAGTCTGTAATACCAGGGCTTGCGTCTGACTCGTTCCGTTTGTGGTGTTCAACATCACCTGTTGGTCGCTTGGGACGAGTTCAGTGAATTATTTTTTGTTGGTGGGGGGATGCTTATAGTTCGGCAACGTAGACTCTGCTTCCGGTCTTTCTTTACCGTTTTGCTTGTGACGTCAGTTGTTTTTGTTTCTTCTTTTTTTTTTGGGGGGGGGGGGGTAACCTTTTCAGATTGGATAAAGGGCAACCAAAGGGAAAGCCATCATTTTGGGGGATCCAAGTCCTTTTTTGGTCACATACCCACATTTGGCTCCAGGAGCGTGGCGGGAGCTTCGCGGATGTCTTTGACCCACTGCTGGGGGGGCCCAATGTCTTTGTGCAGGACCGGTCGGGCGTTCTTTGGCTGTCGGTGTCAAGTTTGCTCATTTCACCTTATGGGTATGCGAGCCCAAATAAGTTTGGTTTCCTTTTGATTACCCCGTAGAACCAGCCAAAAAGGGGTTCACCAAATATAATATATATCCGTATTCTCCCCCACTGTCCAAGCTTTTTCTCAGAAACCTCCTCTAAGCAACGTGATTGCAGACCCCTTTGATTGGTGGAAATAGATGGAGCCAAACTGGTGTTCAGTTTGGTCCTCATCATTGACTGCCATTTGTCCAACAGGACACCTAGGGGTGGCTTTTCAGATCGGACTTTTGGTGGCTGTCCAGTGTTGGTTAAATGGTTCGCCATTCTGTGGAGGTTTCTTTGTGGTTTGAATCGTCACCTTTGCGCCAAATTGAACTGATCTCTTATTTTGTTTCTTAGGATTTGTGTCCAAAGAGGGACGCCCCATTAAACCATCCCAAACAGAATGCCACACACACAAAAAGAAAAAATGAGAGAGAAAGAGAACGGGGGACCACACACACTTTCAAAAAAAGAGAGAAAGAGAGAACGGAGGGGCCAAGGTAGCAGACGGTGAAGCCAAGCCGCAGGACCGGAACTTGCGCGTGGCCGCGCAGCTGACGCCCCTGGTGAGCTCCGAGCCCTTCGATGAAGCGGTGGGGCTTCTGGAGGGCGAGGACCACCGGGCGGCTCAGCGGGTCGGCGGGTCGCTGGAGGCTCCGGAGGTTTTTCCGTCCGGGGGGTTTGCCTTGAAGGGAGGGACACCACTGGACCAAGGGAGCAAATGGCTGTGGCTCAAAAAAAAAAGGTACCAAAATGGAAGCCTGGTAAGTGGAAACATGGGCCAAAGCCTGCGTGACCCCTCCTGTTTATTTCTGAGCCACACCCAAATGGAGGGTGACCATTGGACGTCACTTTTTTTGTTGGCGGTTCCGATGCCGGGTGCGGGTGAGGATGGGCGGGCTTGCGAGCGAAAGGTTGTCTCCAGATTTGCAGGATGGACCGAATGGGTGTTTTCCCTTCGTCTTCCTACATATCACCAACAAGGGTACCCTCTGAGGACACCCAAATTGGTTGGCAGCATTGGTTGGCAAGATTGGCTGAACATTGGCTAGGGGAGACCAAAGTGGGTATAAGTTTTCTGCGGTGCTGCGGGATCCCTGTTTAATCTTCCCATTTGGAATGAAGTACGTTCAGTGCAACTTAAATGGGGCAATGTTTGGAACATGACTTGTACCTCTGTTTCAGGGTTGGGCAAAATCCTCATTATCCATCATGCCCCGGTCTCCTTTAAAGGAAAACCGAAAGAAGGCTGTTTACACAGGGGCTTTTTTACACGTCCAAACGCGGGCTTGGCCCAACCCCGCATAAGCTGTTGCCCGGACCTTTTTTGGGACGCCGAAATGAACTAATTTCAAAAAACCAGCTGTGGTTTCAGGGTCCCGGTTTTCGGGCTCACCGATTTGTGGGAAACGAGCTCAGCCATGAAGGGCTCTCAGACTCCCTTCCCCCTGGTTCCTCCAAAACAAGACCCTAACTTACGGCCGGATTGAGGCCTTATTTGTGCGAGTCTGTACCTTGTTGGGGATGAGTTTTCAGAAACATACCCAGTTGAAGGAAGCCCTTTGGGGCAGGGGCGGGTGTTCCATCAAAGCTGCACCAAGCTTTTCGGGCCTTTCGGGCAAACCGCCAGTGTGTATTTACACCACGGTTTAGAACCACCAAGCTGTTTACATTCCTGTGGGAATTCCCCCTTGGAAAGGGGGGGAAACGGGTTGGTTCAATCCCTGAGGACTTGCCCATCCACCAGAGCCCCATGTATGAGACCCAGCATAACCTGCAGCTGCTCGGCGAAAGGCCCAGTTGGGACCGCGGTTTGGCCCGAGATCGCTTTGAACGCCGCCCTGGTCCCAGGGGAACCAAAAGGCTGAAGCAAATAAATCGTGGTTTTGCTTACATGTCTGAAGAAGTTGGCCCCCTGGTTGATGAAGCTGGGAATATCCAAAGGAAACACGGCTTCATCCCATGTCTGAGGTCCACATGGCTCGCAACCTCGTTTCTCTTTTCGGATGGGTTTGTTACGAGCTCGGGATGAAATGATGGTTGTAGCTGAGAGCATGGGAGCTAGTTCCCAAGAAAGTTCTGAGTCCCAACCCCTTAGGCTCACGCCTGCCTCTTTTGTGCACCTAAGAAGCCCAGCCCCCTTGGAATTCCCATGCAGCCGATGGTGTTTTTTTTTTCTCCGGCCCCGGATGGTGCGGCTACCTCCACCTCCCATGTCGGCCACATGTCCCCAAACTTGGCGAACCACCCCTTGGGAAGCACTGAGACGAGCTTTGAAAAGGTCAGGCGGTTGGTGTCGGCCAGTGCCGACCAACGCCCAAGCAACTTCCCCCTCTTTTCTCTGCCAACAACAACACCCAAGCAGACGTTCCTTAGTTGCGTTCACTGCAAACTTCAAAGGGAAGAAACACAATATGTTTTGTCAATTCTGGCTAGTACGGGTCTAGTAAAGAAGTCAGTAGTAAGTAGTTAAGCTTGGCAGCGACAGCCAGGGTTCTGGAGTGCCTCCTATTAGCAGTGCAGTTGTGGGTGGCAAAGAAATTGACCGGCTTATAGTTTGAAAACAAAAAGGGGAACCAACCATTGTGGCGTTCCGCTCGAAAGCAACGAGGCAAATCCTTCTTCAGCTATGTTCCGTTGAGACAGCTTCTCGATCAGATCATTTGGTTTGTTTTCCATGTTGAACCAAACATCCATGGGTGAGTCAGTTTTTTGTTTTTTTTGCCTGAGCCAAAGCTCTATGGGTGAGACTTACGGGCGCTGATTTTTTTCGCCGTGTTCTCCGAGGATGTTGGCTCTGCAGCCGGCCTGGGGGCAGCAGAACGTGGACCCCTCCTCCCTTCGCCTGCGGGTCATCTTCGAGGAGATCGTCACGAAGGCCGGCGGAACGGCGGAGTTTCGGGGCGACCCCCCCAAAAAATGGCCGGGGGGTTCCAGGTTGTGGCCCTTTCAAAGCAAGCCCCGGAAAAGGTTGCCTCAAAAAACGCCCCACATGGATGACCACCCTACTTCGGAAGTGGATGTGTCTAGGCAATAAAGTAACCCAAGTGTCATACCCCCCTAACCACCCCTCCCCAAACACACACACACACCCACAAACACATCTCAAAAACAGGACCCCTTATTTTGACACTATCTTGGGCTTATTTTGCTGACACTAATTTGGGATTAATTTGAGACTATTTTGACACTATTTTGGGATTAACTTGAGATTGTGTTAGCTGCGCTATGATCCAAAATAGTGTCAAAACAGTGTCAAATTAGTATCAAATTAGCATCAACATAGTGTCACAATACCGCTCAGACAAGGTACGAAAGCGTGAGGAGGAGGTCAAAATGCTAGTTTGGCACCAGTTGCGCATTCATTTTGCACTCATTTGGTACTGAAATGAGCAAACCGGAGCCGCAAAGCACGTTTGCTGCAGCAGAGCAAGGTTGAAGCTAAACAGATTTTGGAGCATTTTGTTTGCAAAATTAGTGCCAAAATAGTGTCAAAATAGTGCCAAACTGCATTCATGTTGCACTAGTTTGACACTAATTTGGCACTTATTTGGCACTGACATTTCGCAAATCGGAGCCGAGATTAATCCCAAGCAGTACCCAAACAATCTCGAATTCAGAAATGCTCCAAAATCTGCACAGGCGCGCGTAATTCCGCTTTGTCCTTGTGGAGTTTAATTCAAAACCTTGCTTTGCTGCAGCAAACGCTGGTTTTCAGCTCCAATTTGCACATTTTGGCACCGCAAAATGAATGCGCAATTAGTGCCAAACTAGCATTTTGGGCTCCTCCTCACGCCTTCGTACCTTGTCTGAGCGGTATTGGGACACTATTTTGATACTAATTTGATACTAATTTGACACTCTTTGGACACTATTTGACACTAATTTGACACTATTTTGACAGTAATTTGACACTGTTTTGACACTAATTTGACACTGTTTTGACACTAATTTGACACTATTTTGGCATCATAGCGCAGAAATGCTCCAAAATCTGCACAGGCGCACGTAATTTGGCTTTGTCCTTGTGCAGTTTAATTCAAAACCTTGCTTTGCTGCAGCAAACGCTGGTTTTCAGCTCCAATTTGCACACTTTGGCACCGCAATAAATTAAACTCAACAAGGACAAAGCAGAATTACGTTCGCCTGTGCATTTTTTAAAATGCTGCCAGAATAGTGTCAAATTAGTGTCAACATAGTGTCAAAATAGTATCAAAATAGTGCCACAATAATAGTGTCAAAAGAGCGTCACAATTCTTGTCAGACAAGCTACGAAGGCGTGAGGAGGAGCCCAAAATGCTAGTATTGCATTAATTGGCATTCATTTTGCGGTGCCAACATGTGCAAATTGGAGCTGAAAACCAGCGTTTGCTGCAGCAAAGCAAGGTTTTGAATTAAACTCCACAAGGACAAAGCAGAATTACGCGAGCCTGTGCAGATTTTGTAGCACTTCTGCGCTATGATGCCAAAATAGTGTCAAATTAGTGTCAAAATAGTGTCAAAATAGTGCCAAAATAGTGTCAAAGTAGTGTCAAAACAGTGTCAAATTAGTGTCAACATAGTGTCAAATTAGTGTCAAAAGAGTGTCAAAATAGTGTGAAATTAGTATCAAATTAATATCAAAATAGTGTCCCAATACCGCTCAAACAAGGTACGATGGCGTGAGGAGGAGCCCAAAATGCTAGTTTGGCATTAATTGGCATTCATTTTGCGGTTGCAGCAAAGCAAGGTTTTGAATTAAACTCCACAAGGACAAAGCGGAATTACGCGCGCCTGTGCAGATTTTGTAGCATTTCTGCGCTATGATGCCAAAATAGTGTCAAATTAGTGTCAAAATAGTGTCAAAATAGTGCCAAAATAGTGTCAATATAGTGTCAAAACAGTGTCAAATTAGTGTCAAACTAGTCAAAATACCGCTCAGACAAGGTACGAAGGCGTACGTAATTCTGCTTTGTCCTTGTGGAGTTTAATTCAACACCTTGCTTTGCTGGGCTCCGACTTGCTTATTTTGGTGCCAAAATAGTGCAAAATGAATGCACAATTGGTGCCAACTAGAATTGCGTACCTTGTCTGAGCGATATTGTGGCACAATGTTGACTAGTTTGGGTCTATTTCACCACTAGTTTGACACTATGTTGACACTGTTTTTCCACTGTTTTTGACACTAATTTGACACTGTGTTGACACTATTTTGACACTGTTTTGGAACTACTTCGACACTATTTTGACACTGCTTTAACACTATTTTTACACTATTTTTGGCAGTTGTGTACAAAACAGTAAAAAAAGCTTCAAAATCTGCACGGGCGCTCGAGATTTGTCCTTGTGGAGTTTAGCTTCAAAAACTAAATTAGTGTAGAATGCATGCACAAATAGTGCCAAACTAGCATCTTGGGCTCCTCACGCCTTCCTTTGTGCCTTGTTTGAGCGGTAGTTTGACACTGTTTTGACACTGATTTGAGACTATTTTGACTCTATTTTGACACTATGTTGGCACTCATGTGGTAATTGTGTAGAAATGTTAAAAGAGCTGCTCCAAACTCTGCACAGGCGCTCGTAATTCTGCTTTGTCCTCGCGGAGTTTGGCTTCGAAAAACCTTGCTCCGCTGCAGGAAACGCCAAATTGGCGCCAAATTAGTGTGAAATTTGCTGCACTATAAGACACTGTTTTGACACTATGTCGACAGTATGTTGACACTAATTGGGTGCTTTCTGCTTTTTCCTTGTTGCCAAGCGAGAAACCATTATCACAAAGCTATCAGCATAACAGCAAATTAGTGTAAAATAAAGCAAAAACATAAGACAAATTTAGTGTCAAAATAGCACCATTTTTTTCTCAAAATAAGCCAACACACATACCACAAATTTAGCCTCAAAAAAACACCAAATTAGTGTCAAAATAAGAGAACACACGGGTCCCCACGTAAGACCAAAATAAATAGTCTGAATTTAAGCTGTTGTGGTTGGGGGGGGTTTGTGGTTGGGGGGGGGGCTGCGAAGCTCTACGAAAGTGGGATTTGCCCTACATGCAACCTGGTTAGGAGACGTATTAACTGGGGATGTTAGCCGCTTGCTAATTGGGGTCATCCATGTGTACCCGCCAAAGCCAGGGCCGCCCAACCAAGGCTGTGGCGACAAGATTGACCGCAGATTGAGGCTTCAAGTGCGAGGGGTCAATTCCTCCGTGGTTGAATAGGGATGAACAACAGGCCTGACACGCAGAATATGGCAGGAGTTCAATGTATTGTACACCAGTCAAGTCTGCCACTTCACGCTGTGGCTCATTTGGAGAATTGGGCAGTATCATGCAACAGAAAAAGGGTGAGGCCAAGGAGTATCCCCAACCGCCTCAAGACCTCCTCTAGGAACCTTACGGAAGTGAGTTGGGAGCAAAACACAACTCATGGTGGGTGTCTCACCTGTGCGAGGACGACCTCTCCGCGGTGATCCGCGTATTCCCAAAAGCCCTGCGGGAGATATGCCTCAGTTTGCAGGCGGACGATCCCTTGCAATGGCAGCGCTTCCCGACGCCCAGCTGAAAGCAAAATCGGCCTTTCGGCGATGTGCTTTGCCGGTTTTGGTTATGGATGTCCAGGGTTCCGTTTGTTGACTACCGCAAGGTAGACTTAAACTTATTTGGGGAGATCAACCACCCCTGGGTTTGAGTCCACTTTGGGGTTGTCAAAACCTGTGGATATCTATCTATATAGGGTATATATTCTGCTTCAAACCCGCGTGCATTTCTTGAAGAATCTCGCATGGCAGTCTTCCTTATGCTGTTGGAAAGGGCTTCTAAATTGGTGCCTGCACGGCTGCTTCATCAGTCAGCATGGCTTCCACAAGAAAGAACATGGAGAGCTGTTTGGCTTCCACCCATTTCGCAAAGTTGCACCGGCTTTTCCCGAGAGGTTTGGGGGGAAACGGGAGAACCAAACCGGTTGCGCTTGGCTCCAAAAACAATTTTTTGGTCAGGACCCAAACCGGCCTCGGGGACCTCGAACCCGCGGATGGAGCACAGGACCCAAGGCGGGTCGGTCCTGCCCCTTGTGATTGGTGGGTCAAGGGAGGAACCGGGGTTTGGCTTTTTTAACTGGCTGGCTGCTTCGTTGGTTGGTTGGCTTGGCTTGGCTTGGCTTGGCTTGGCTTGGCTTGGTTTGGTTTGGTTTGGTTTGGTTTGGTTGGGCGCCCGCATCCGAGCATCTCCGCACTTGGTGCCCAATGCGTCTGATTTGTTGTTGGTTGGTTAGTTGGTCGGGGTTGGACGGGGGAGCAACCCCAACGTCTTTTCTTGAGATCGATGCTTGGTGAAAGTTGGGATTTAGGGCAACTTTCTATGATGGGAATCCCCTGTCAATGTTTAAAAGTTACACCACCGTCTGGGGTATCACAGAAGGCAATTTCCACGAGCATCTGGGGGTGGGAAACGCAACGTAATGCCGTGTGGGTGTAAAACAAAATAGAAACATGGGGGGACCATCTCTGAGACCATGCGTCTCCTTTCCTGGCTTCTCTTTCAACCCACTTGATTCCGGGTAGACTCAAAGAAAAGACCACCACACCCCCATGTATGTTGGATGCAACCAACATATGGTAAGTGGGGAAGGATCGAAACCTTGCAAATTCAACCATGGTTTGTGGTTGCTGTACTTGCGCTATGTTGCTTGCATCCTATCCGCCGGCCCAAACCCTAAACCTTGGGCTTAGGGTGTGGGGTGGCTTTTGGACGTACGGTTCCGCCATTGGCCGCCCGGTGCGCAGGGACGTGGAGTCGCTGCCCGTGGGCTTCCTGTGCCACACGATCTCCGCGGGGGACGAAAGTCGGGTGCTGGCCAGCGGGGAGGTGCTGCAGCTGGAGCTGAGGCACCCGCTGCTGCGGAACACCGAGTACGTGGCCACGGGGACCAAAGGATGGTGTGGTTCCTCTTTTGGTGAGGGTGTGTTTTTTTTTTTTTGCGGGGGACACTTCTTTTTGTGTGCTTATTTATATATATTTGTTTGGGGGGGGGGTCCCCTAACAATGAGATGCCCAGAGGGAGCCTCGGATTGCCCCTTTGGGCTTGGCGGATGGGGGATGGAGAGTTAGGGGTGGGACCCTTTTTTGTTGAAAGAAGTTCACGAAATGTTGGAAACAACGTTGTTGGTTTTCTTTGGGGGGTTCTTCGTCCGGACGTCAAAGGGATTGATTGTGTTGCCAAAATTCTGGATCGCTGTGGGATTCTAAGTTGGGGATTCCCTGCGGTCAAGGGGGAAACGCACCATTCGAAGGGTCCGCCATTTTGAGACTGCACCACGACATGGTCAACAGAAGCATCCTGACCTTCAAGGTAGGTGGGCCACCAATTAAGGGTCTGGATTGTTCCTTTGGCCCCCAACAAACAGTTCATGTTGTTTCAGGCATGCGCAACCTCTCACTTCCTGAGTTCCTGGATTTTAGACTTTTGGGGAGGACCATTTTAGTGGTAAATAAAAAGATTAGACTTTTGTTGGTCCATCAACTCAGGCATGTTCAACCCCCCCCCCCACCCCGCTTTGTTTTTTGGAAGAACGTCCTTTGAGTGCTCGCTTCGCCCGTGGGCCTAGGTCCAGCTTCCGCCACGCGTGGTGAAGGCAGCTATGGGCAGCACTCGCTTCCCAGGGGCCTTGTGGGCCGGGTGGCCGGCGGATGAGGGCCAGGGCAACAAGGAGCGTGGCCGGCAGAGCCGAACAAATCGCTGGGAATTGATTATATAGAGTGGTTGCTGGGTTGTAACCCTGGCAAAAAACCTGTTTGCCATTTTGGAGGCAAAAAAAAAAATGTTTGCCAGTTTTGGACCGGTGTTCTGCTACCTAGCTTCCTGGGAATTACAGGAAGGCCTACAGAAGTCTCCAGACATGTTGGCAGGACCGAAAGTCAATGGGTTTTGGGCGCCGCTCATCGGGAGCCCAACCAAACCCAACTCGGGTTGATTGGCTTCATGCCCTGATTTACAACCAGATGAATCAACCTGGAGTCCAACCATGCCCGTTTGGAGGCAACCCCCGTTTCACCGACCAAATGGCAGGCTTTCGCACCATTTTGAGAAGCTCCCATGTCAATGCTTTTTGATGAGGGAGCTCTTTTTGGGTTGGTTTAGTGGGAAATCCAATGAGGCAGTTTTGTTTGGAGGGGTCCTATTGTGACACCGCCCCACTTGGCGCTTCGTGAGGAGTACGTCTTCAGCACGGGGCTGCCCCTCGCGTCCAACGCGCGCCTGGCCTTGGCGGTGAGCTGCGGCTCCGAGAAGGAGTGCCGCAGAGCGCGGAAGCTGCTCAGCGAGACAGGCGCTGGGGAGCCAAACTGAGAGCCTGGTGCTGGGTACCTGGCACCCGTAGGGCTGTTTTTTTGTTGTTTGCTTCTCCGGTCAAACTCCAGTATTTGGCCGTATTTGCCCGTATGGCCATGTTATGCCATGTTTGTTTTTTTTCTTCTTCTTTTTTCTCTGGTCATTTGCGGGGTCAGGTAGCCCGGTATTGCGAATGCATAATGTTCCCAAAAGCAAACCCAAAAAAGGATGGGTATTTGTTTGATCCTGGTCCTTCCAGGCCCCCGTGTTCAGCACCATGGCATGGTTAAGCCAAACTGAAACCAGTGGAGATTGTTTCTTCAGACCAAAACGGACATCTACTTGGGCAACTTAGCAACTCAAAAAGCGGAAATAAGACGGGCCTTCATTGGCACGGGCATCACCGTTCTGACGCGCCAGGCATGGCCGACCTCGCTTTGAGGGCGAAGTGCTACGCCTTGTGGTGGCGATGCCACCAGGAGAAACGGCAAAGTTTGGGGGTAGCGGTGGGGGTTCCGATATATTCACAGTAGTGCCCTTTTACCCTTTTTGGAGGAGGGTTCCCTACTAAAATAAACTGCACAAAAAAAGGTACCCTTATTCTAACCTCTCTACTGGAGGACCTAGTTGAAACTCACCGGTACGCGGCTCGGTTTGGAGTGCGGAGATCGTGCCCCTCGTGTTTCCATGTGCGACCGATTGACCTATATTCAGGTGATTCCAGGAATGTGCCCAAAATGAAAGTTGAATAAATATGTATTTTAAGGTGGAACTTGGAGCCCTTGAGCAGGTCAGGCTTCTTTTGCTTCTCTTCTCACTCCCTGAGTTCCCGGACTTTATACTTTTTTGGGAAGACCATTTGAGTGGCAAACAACAATCTTAGACATGTTTTTTCCAATCCTCTCAGGAAGTGAGTCTTTGACAAACATCTAGACACCCCTTCCCCTTTCGGGATCTAAAGGAACTGATCGCTGATTTGGCGACAATATCTCTTTCTAGCGTAGAGCATTCGTATTTAGGTCCTGCATCCGAAATCAGAGCCGTGGATAGACAGAATGACTGCCAGGCGGCAGTTGATAGTTGGGATTGGTGGATCAACCAGTGCTGGGGTTTCATCCCTGCGAAGTGAGTCGTTCTTCACTCCCTCCAGGCCTACAAGCCCCGCTACTGCTGTTGGTAAGGTGCCCCAAAAGCAAGCTGGGTCTTTCTTTTTGAAAAGGGAAGCCAACAACAGGAAGCCTCATTTTGTTTATTTCCCTAAGAAAAAACACACCCAAAATTACCCTTTTTAGCCAAGGTCTGACCATGGCAATTGTGACCATGAACGGTAGACGACTGCAAACACGCAGGTCCATCGACTGGTCAGGAATGACGCTTGTCAAATCTGAGAAAGATTCCAGCACTTCTAGAGCGGGATGCCGCATGGATGTAAGAACGCAAGCCGCATCCAGGAGGGATCTTTCTGGAGCTTGGTATGAGTCGCGGGTCCTTATCTTTCCTTTGGTTGAAAGATCTGTTGGTTGCCAAACAGTTGCCAATGATTGTTCAGTCTGGTTGGTGCAACAGCATAGTTCCGGTTAAACGGATGACCAACCTAAGCAGAGATTTGGTAAATGTCTTTTGGTTTCCCTTAACCCCTTGCGGGGAATTGAAAGCAGCCACTTGTGCCCTGTGCATTGGTCAGTTGTTTTGAAATTCTGTGTTCACAACCTGGCCGTTCGCTGCCATATCTTCAGGCTTTTAGACTTTGTGCGTTTAGAGGAAAGGTATGACATATCCCAGCAAAGGTCTAACTTGTTTGAGGGGATCCAAGATGAAGCAACAAAAACTTTTGACCCAGGTTTGGATCCAAGATGAAACACAAATCCACTTTTGACCCGTTGTTTTTTTCCGCCAGGACCCCATCGCGCCCAAGCACTGCGAGCGCCCCAGCGAGATGTCTTGGTGCGACGTGGGGGGCAGCTGGTCACCGTCCTGGGCGCCACCGCGAGAGGAAGCGAAGCGGTCGAGTCGAGGGTCTTTGCCACGGGTTTAGAGGATCCAAACACCTACAGCAGGTGTCCTTTTTGGTGCTTACAGTTGTTTGTTGGATGTACCCTTTGTGGATCCTCCAAAAGTGGCCATTGTTTCAATGGTTAACGACCAAGATACCACCAGAAAATCGCAACTGTTGAGGGGGACATCTAGTGACCTTTGTTCATGTTCCCTCTCAACCAGCAAACACTTACTGGTGCTCAGTAGGGAATGAGGGAATGACCTGCGGATTCCCTGAAAAGAAACCGTAGAGGATGGTTTTTTGGGGTCCCTGCAGAGCACCAGCAAGTAAAGCTGTCACTTCTTGGTCAGATCCGTCTAGGAAGAGGAAGAGGAGGAGCTGAGTGGAGTGGCAGACCAGGCGGGGGTTGGATCTGGAGCTGGTCCTTTTTGGCGAATCTTTGGTTCGACCGAAACAATCCCTGATAAAGGATATGATGGAAACCAAAAGAACACCAAAAGGAATCCAAATAAGTCTAATTCCCAGTCGGGGGTTTGGTCTTTTAGAGGCTACTTTTCGGCAAACAATTTGAACAGCCCACCTAATGAATGGACAAAGGCGCAGATCGGTTGGTTGCTGCCGCCTGGGGACTGGCCTGTCAGCTTTCTGGCACATGACGATTTCCCCACAAACTTGGAAGAAGTGTAACGTTTCCAAGGGGGTCAAAGACCAATGCAGTTGAGGGTACCTTGGAGACTGACCCCTAAGTAGATGAAGGATAGGAGTGGACAGTCCCAAGCATAGGCCCAAAAGCGATTCAGGGAGGTCCGGGCAAGAAATGGGAATGGCTTCTCCATGTCAAATTGTAAGTGGTCCATTCATGCATGGAAGGGCCGCAAAATTGTGGGGGGGGACCCACGTTTTTCCCAGGGATGATGCCAATAGGCGTGAGTGTTTTGATCGAGGGAACCATTTTCAGGTAGGTTTCTTGGTGGCTCCCTGCCATCCGGTTCCTTAGCCTTTCAGCTTTTTTTGGTGTTTAGTGGGGACTCCCATTTGACCCACTTAGACGTTAGTCACTTTTAGCGAGGGATCTGAGGACAGCCCAGGTTTGAAAGACTGAACGCCATCTCCAGGTCCAAAGTCCAAAGCCCCCGATGTTTGACCCTGGAACGGACCGATTGTCAGGCTGTGTCGGAGATGCAGTCCATCACCTTGCCCTCCTGGGTGTATCTGGGACTCCCGTGTTTTTTTGCAAGCGTTGCAACCGGTGTTTTTTTGTTTTTTTGTTTTTTTTGTTTTTTTGTGGGGGGGGGGGGTGATGTTTGATGGTCTGCGTTGTTTTTGGCGTGTTGTGGGTGTGGTAATTCTTGGTAGTTGGTAGCCGTTGGTGGTCGTTGGCGGTTCTTTGTGACATCGGTTGGGTATGTTGTTTGGTCGACCATGTTGGGCGGTCTTTCTGTCGCGGATCTTCTTCCCTTAAACTTGTGTTTCTTGTAGCACGGGGTGTTTGGCCCCTGCAAGTATGGTGCTATCTCGCTCGAGATCATGAGTGGAATTTATTCCCTGACTGAGACTGGTCTGCGAAGTTTGAGTACGACCTGCAACCTTTTGACTTCTCCAAAAAGGTCACAGGCTGTTAAAAAACCTGGAGGCGAAAGCTGCGTCACACGTGTTTTCCCCTGGCTTTTATGCAATTTGTCCTCTCTGGCTCATGCTTGGCAGTGAACGGGAGAATTAGGACAGCATTGCTTTCATGCATAAATGGTCAACAACCCAATGCTTTTTGCATAGTTGCAGTTCAATTGCCCGAAAATCTGAACCAACAAGCTGCAGCCAACGATCACGGCTGAAATCAAGCTGCGCGTGTAGCGAAACACATTAGAGTCAAGCTGGGTTGAATATAGACTTGCAATGATTGCCAGAGGCTCTTCTAGCAAGCTCATGTTTGCTGGGATGGACATTGGTCGCTTTTTGCCAGCATCTGCAACCAACATTGGCCAGGCATCAACCTGTGTGCACTGGCATGTGTGTTCGTGTGCGCGCAAGCCTTTCGTAACGACGGTAACATCCTCCCCCACCCCCACGCCCCCCCCCCCCCACCCCCTCCCCCACACACCCCCCCTCCCTCGCTCACAACTGCAACTCGACACATCATAGCCCAAGAACAGCAGACAGCAAAAAAAACACCAAAAGTACCAGGTTTTTTTACCAGCCTGTTTCCTCCAAAAAGTGGCAGCTTTTCCCACTGACAAAATGTGCTGTACGGGTCCAAGACCAACCTTAAGAACATTTGCCCAACACGGGGATGTAAATCCCAGTATAAAGCTTACCTGAGATATCTGTTGAATTGGCGAGCGTCAACACTTTTTGTTGTAGATTTCCTCGTCATTTGCGTCAGGCCCAAAAGGTTTGAACAGTTTCTGGCCAGTAAACTCACCAAGTCAGATGGGCAAGCGGGGACTAAGAGCAGGGGCTATCACGGGGCTGATCCTAGGCTAATTCAGGGATAGCCCCCCCCCCCACCCCCACTGTTAGTCAGGTCGGTTTGATGTGCGATGTTGGCAATATC